GCATCAGGAAACCCTGAGGAGAAGCCAGAGTGGAACATGACTATATTTTTCCTCTTAGGATCTCCTGCGACGTGACATTCTGTACTATAAGAGTCGAATCGGCATGGACAACATGGAGATTCTGGATGTGGAAGATGGGAAAGACAAGGACTTCAACGTCACCATTAAAAACGCATTCAAGTTGCACTGCAGGGACACTGAAGAAGTCCACTTATTCTGTGCAAAAAAGCCAGAGCAGAAGCAGCGTTGGCTCAAGGCCTTTGAGAACGAAAGGAAGCAGGTTCAGCTTGACCAGGAAACCGGTATGCAACAGTAGCTGGGGTTGCTGCTTAAGGCATTGTGCAGCCATTAAGCAGAGAAAACCCTTTCCCCAGAAGATTCTCACCTGCCCCACCTGAGCTGCATGTCAAACTTTTGAAATACTCTAATTTCCCTATGGATGTAACAAACGAAACATTGCCTAGGGTCTTAGAGGGCCCTCCTATGTAATCTTTCTGTCTGATGGCTGCACTGGTCCACTAGCTGCGCCAAAGCATCTCCTGAGTCAGGGGTGGGGAGCCCTTTTCAGCCCAAGGGCTTCGTTCCCTCTTAGAGAAACTTCCAATGGTGGGTGGGGCCAAAGGGAAAAGTGGCCAGAGCAGCGGGGCTGATTTCCAAGTCATTGTGCGCAGAATCAAGCTGCTAGTGTAATTTTTGCTTCTAGGGATTTTGCACTTGCCCGCCCCCCTTGGTTGCTGTGTGTGTGTTTCTATGATGCACCTTGCAAAGGCACAGCTGAGCTAATGAGTTTTGTTTCATCTTCTAGGTTTTTCCATTACTGAGGTGCAGAAGAAACAAGCCATGCTTAATGCCAGCAAACTGAACCAGAGTGGAAAACCAAAAGGCAAGTCAGGATAGTTATCCTTCTCTTTTATCTCTCCCTCCAACAGGGGAATTATCCCAAGTTCTAGTATTAGGAGGGGAGACACTTTTTCTCTTTTCACACCATGCATTTCAGAGCACCCTGAACACACTGAGCTGCCTTCAGCCCTGCCAAGGAGATCCAGGATACAGGGCAATATACAAGAACCTGCTCTTGGAAGCTAGTTTTATTCAGTTGGAAGCATCTACCCAAAAGCAACGTACCTACATTAGGGGTAGAATTGTCCTCAGAACAGCAGGGGAAGGCAGGATCCCGCTCCCCCTCAAAAAAGACCCCCACTTTCTGCAATTCCATAATAATCAGGCCTTCCAGGTTTGCTATTTAAAGAAACCTACATGTTAAATGCAAAATTTAATGTGATGCCTAGCCATATTTCAAGATAAAAATATTACTAGTGGCTCATGTAGTTGTGCTGCAGATGGCTTGGGCATGAGGACCCTTTTATCAGCTTTTTCTCCTCCCCCACAAAGTGTCATGAGATCAGGTAGAAGATGGACATAAGAGATAAGAAGGTCCTATTTGATGCTTCTGCTAAAAGGCAGCGTTGAGTTGTTTTGAAGAATTATTCTATTAAATTTAGATCATGCTGGGCATCACGGGCAAGAATGTGTTGAATCTGCGTCAATGTAACCTTTTATCTTCTTGCTCATGTTGTTAACAGTGGTCACCCGGACATATTACGATTTCTTGATGCGCCAGAAGCACCCCACATTGCCGACGAACCTCCCCCAGCAGCAAGTTTTCATGCTGGCGGAGCCCAAGCGCAAGCCTTCGAATTTCTGGCAGAACATCAGCAGGCTGGCACCGTTCCGAAAATGAGGGGAAGCAGCCTGATCTTGTGCCTGAATACCTTCTGAGAAAGCACTTTATGCATCAGTCCTGCAAAACAAAGCACTAGCTCCCCCTCCTGGCTTTCAGAGGGATAGCATCTTCCCTTTACTCCCTTGTTTCTTTTGCCAGACTGAATGAGCTCAAAAGTGTTACAACATGGACCATTTTTTGTTGTTGTGTGTACGTACGCGTGTGTCTGTGAAAGTGAGCTGAGCCTGCCCATCTCTTTTGAATACCCAGGAAGAGAAAGCAAGAGGCTTGAGTTAGAACATAGTTGGAACCTTTCCTGTTTTCTTTCCTTAAAAAACCCCCACAAAAACCACCCTTATTTTGTCGTTTTCCTTTTGGACCATTCCTTCCCTTGGGACCATGATTTGCTTGCAGTTTCAACAAGGCTGCCAGACAAAATAGGGGCAAGGGGATGAGCAGTCCCAGTGCCAGCTTTGCATTTGCTCCAAAAAGCTGTTCGAGTGTTGTTGCTGCTGTTACACACCGTTTTCTCCTGGGACGACGGACTCCTTTCCCATCACCATCCTCACCTGTTTTCACAGAAATCCTGAAGAATCCGAGCATGGCCAGGGAGCCACCTTCAACCTTCCTTTGCTGAAAGCAGAACTACTGACCACGAACCAGAACCTGACTGGCCAACCTGAAGCATGACTAACAGCCGAGACCTAGTTGAGTTAATGTACGTTGTGGGGGAGGGGGAAATGTGCCTAAATTAACTTTAAATTACTTTTATTCTCTACCAACACTTTGCCATAGTTCTTGGCCAATGAATTTTTTTTCTGTCAGTGTTTTTAAATGTTTATTTATGGTAAAAGTGCAGATAACTGTATTTTGTAAGAGTTTGTAATCTGTCTTGTCGGATGTTAACTTGATGCCTGTTTTGTCTATTTTTTTCCCCACTAAAGACAAAGGCCAACATTTGTAAGCCTATATTCCTAAAAAAAAGATGAGACATGTCTGAAGGTGAATTTCAGATGTACCAGTACCACTTACAAGCAAATCAGTATTATCCTTGGGAACTGTGCCACCCACGCAATAGTCTGCCGAGGCGGGGCGGGGATAGGAAGCCTGGGCCACAGAGTTCCAGATTTATACAGAAGGGTGTATATATAGACACACTGACACTTGAAAATGGTGGGCAAAAATACCCATGTAATCCTTGACTAGAAAAAGAGAGAGAAAGATTTGCCTTACTATAGCAAGATAGCTAGAAGCCATAACTGACTGAATCCCATCCTTTAGGGATTTCCTGGTACTGTGAACTTAAAAAGAAAACCATGTACTCTGGTATGAGACTACTGTGAGAGGGTGAGCACTCAGAAGTCTGCCACAGAGATGCAGTGTCCAACTACGGCTAACCAGCCGATAGTTACGCAAATCCAGAAGCATGTACAAATTCATTCTTGCACTATATCTTTCCCCTCGTGGGAGGGGCTACATTTAATTTCATAAAGAAACTTGTAAAAGTGATTTCCACTCCGTGTGTGTCTGTTATAGAATTCTTGGTCCAACAGTCTCGTCCTTTGTGCCTGGTTATTCTTAAGTGAGGAGCGAGCTGCCTAGCAGGCTGGGCTCTATTGCCTTTGTTTCTCTCCAGCTCCAGCCATGTCGACAGCAAGGATGTGGAATCCATGGTCCTCAAGCTCTTGCTGAATTTTTCAACTCCCATCGTCCTTGATAGGCCACGCTGGCTGCAGTTGATAAGAGAGGACCACCACATCCACACCATACACGTAAAGCACTCTCACACCATTGTAAGTCATGCCCCCCCCCAAGTGCAAATCCTGGGAACTATTGTTTAAGGCTGATGAGAACTGTAGCTCTGTGAGGCATCTCCTAACACTCAGCACCCTTAACAAACTACAGATCCCAGGATTTTGCACAGTAATCCTTGACTTTTAAAATGATGTGAGAACACTTTACATGTATGGTGTGGCTGTAGCCCAAGGAATCCAGCAACAGATAGAGGACCTCAGTTTCCCCACCTGGTCTAAAAGCTGATTCACATTACTTAAGGATTGTAAAAGATGCATGTGAGACTGCAGCGTCACGTGATGACTTGTATGTGGACATAATTTAACTTTTTACATAATTTCAAACATACCAAGCTGGACCCCAAGATTTCAGAGCTTTTGCTGATGCAACGGGGCTTTCACATCTCCTTGCTGTTGCATCCCTTAAAGCAGGCCCTGTGAATTGAATGGGATGCGGCAGGGCAGGGGAACTAAGCTAAGCTAACTCATTGCCTTCTGCTCACACAAGCAACCATTAAGACTAAACCCTTTATTTTTCAGTTTACATAACTGGCTGGAAGTCTTCAACTGATGAGAAATGATATGCATGCATCCCTGTTTGAAGCTTTCTTTAGTGCAATTACACTTTGATAGCTCCAGCACTCTGGGCTGTAGCATGGGATTTGGAGAGGCTAGATGCCAGTCCAGATATAGCCATCATGTACAAGATGACTCCTAATTTGTTAGTACTTTTCATCTCTTGAACTGTTTAATGTTGCGGGGAGGTAGCGTGATTTCCAAGCCATTCAATTGACATGAGTGAGGCTAGATTATAAAGCCATCAGGTTTTACAATGAGACTCAAAAGTGGTGTGCCACAACATGATCAAGAGCTAAGAACGCTTCTGTCAGATGTGTAGACCTGAAAATACCAATTGTATTAACGACACAGTTCAACCTAGCCAGCTACTAAGCACAGAAGTATTTGAAGAAAAGTGTAGTAGTCGTCAGAGAGAGAAAGTCCAATAGCAAAAGAGAAAGACCAGTCTGAAAGTAATGTGCCAGAGATGCCTTTGCTTGACCAATGCGAACTATGCAGTCAGGTGGCCAGTGCTGCAAATGAAAGCACTTTTTACTTGTTGCGTAAATAGATCTCAGGAATTATCAGTCCCATGGGATAAATTGTATGCTGTAATGTACAGCAGTACAGATCAAGTACTGGAACAAGGAGCAAGGGATTAGTGCTGAACCAAGCCAGAACACCCCACAACTGAGTGGCAAGAACATCCTGCTACTTTTAACAATGGTAGATGGGTGTGAAGTTAGTAGCCAGCAGAGCCCAGAAAAGGAATGCAACAACATAGCTTCCATTGTTCCAGGGATGTGGAACATGAAGCCCCCAAGAGTTGATTAAAGTCTATAAAGGATGGATAAAATGGATTAAAAGTCTAAAGAAAACAGGTGAAACTTGTGGAGTTACTAAGAATTTAATACCAAGAATTAAACATGCCTCTGCATCCATGTGAAATAGCTTTGTGTGGATCTGCCACCACCCACTACTGGAATACTGGTCCAGACAAGTGCCCTCCATCCAAAAAAACCTGCCTCACACTTAGCTTGGTGCCTGACATACTTCAGAGTCCTCCTCATATCCCATATAAACAGACAAGACTGCCATACTGCTGCTTTCAGAAGCTTCACAGAATAAGCAGAATTCTCATTTTTGGGTTTGTATATATACAGTATAGGAAATCTAACTTCCATAGAAGAATGTTAGCACAGGGAAAGCTTCTTATAATAATTCTCTGTGAAAGCATGCGGTAATATAGGATCTTTGATACCACCAGCAAAAGGGGAAAGTGAGCTATACAACCAACTGAAGGACTGATGCCAATTTAACACTTTTTCCATTTGAGTAAAGAAAGCAGCTGTTTTGATATGCTGTGGTTGATTTGAAGCAGCAAGCTAAGCATACGAAGTTACATTACAGAGCAAGGGCAGGGAACCTGGGGCTCTCTGAATGTGCAGATGCTCCATCATCTCCAGCTAGCATAGGCAACTGGAAGGTAAGATGGGAACTTTGAGACCTGCAGTTGTTCCAAGAAAAAAAAAACAAGACTAAAGGACCACGATAAGCAACACAGTCAATCTTTATTGAAAACTGAAGTATTAATACATAACAATTCCTGTTACATAAACGTGCTTTTAAGAATTTAACTCTGAGCTCATCTACTCATTGGATTGCATAAAAATAAAAATGAATTTTACACAGTTGGCTCAGAATGAAATTGCCACTCCTATGTGTTGATGCAATAGTTCAATGCAGATATGATGCTTTAAACTGGTTCTGGAAGACAACATTGACCTAAACTTGGAAAAAGTACCAATACAACTGCTTTAAGACAGTCTTCTTTTAAAAAAAAAAGTTATAAAAAAAGGAAACCTGTGTCTTATTTCATAACAAACACTATTACTGGGGCCTCTTGCACCTCTGTTGCATGCACTCCCCCTTTTCACCCCACAAGGGCAGCCAATAATAGCACTACAATAAAATCCCACTAACAAATCCATTCTACTAAAAACAAGTCTGTACAGCAGCAAGCTAAATGAAACTTCCCCGGTTTGCTTGCTAAGTGCTCAAAAGTCACATCAGATTGGAAAAAACCACACAGATCATGTCGGGTAATTAGAGGTCAAACTATTTAGAATATTTTGATACACTAAGTTGGCTCCTGACACTGTGATACTCAAAATGTATTCCAAGTCACATTAGAAAGGGTCAGATGCCCCCCTGCCTTCACTATCCTGGAAAGGCAGTTCAAAAATCTTGGTGGTTTGAGATATTAATGCAAAAACATGCTTATGTAGCTTTTCTCCCTTCCATTTCTATTGAAGACTTACAGCCTGACTAAAGAGATCCTTCACAGGTGACTCAAGACACACATGCAGTTTCCTTGCCTGCACAACCTTCCTTCTCCACTTCAGAATGAAGGGGGTTTTACAGGCTGAAAAAGTAGTATCTATACAGCACCACTCAAGTTAGTAAGCAAGGGGCTTGGAAAAAGCTCCATGTGCAGACACCCATGGAGAAAACCCCCACAACCGAACTCTGGATTTGGGGCTTAGTATTTTACATGCACAGACAGAAATGGCATTTGTACTATTTGATGTATTCTAGCAGAGTTACCCGATAGAAAATGCTATGGTGAGCCTTCACAACTATCAAGAAGTTAGTTAAAACCTCTATATGGATGCCGACTTCTTTCAGAAGCAGCCGCTAAATACCGTGTATTTATCTAACAGTGCCAACTCACCATTTTCATATAAGCAATTTAGATATTCTGCTTTGCGTAGAACAGTGTCATCCAATTTCCCTGCATTTTAATAAAACAAATTAAGCTAGCTTTACAATACTGTGCTCAACCAAGAGGAACACTGCTCATTTGATACACATAGGAGAAAGATTTGCCTAATCAATTCAAAATTCTATACAGAAATTAAGATCTGTGAACATTGGCTGACATGGAATATCCCTATGCAAATACCGTTCCATAAAATTTAACCAGATTACAAGTGTTGCATTCTAAGTGGCTTTTCATTTACAGGAATTCAGCTGAAGTGAATCCCACCAAACAATATTTCCATTATAGCATCATGCTACCTTTCATGGTTACTTTATGAGCTTGTCAGAGTACTTGAATTTCTGTAGCCTTCAACAATATTTTAGTTACACATTTATAATCAGGATTAATAATTGAGGTTTAGTTTCCTGTCAGTAGGTTAGTGCTAAACACCACTGACTAAATCTACCAATTCTTAGGCAAATGATGTTTCCATAGAATGTGACTATTTTGCTATTTTGCTCTTTTTTAAAAAAGAGACACTTAGAACGCTGTGTTATCTACCTTGGGAACGTCTCCTAAATGATACTTTGAACATTATTCAAAAACATAACTTTTGAAGTTTAAAAGCCCAGATCCTTTTGTTTTCTGTTATTGCTGTAATTTTTGATTACATTTAAGGCTGCGTTCATTTGAAAAAGCAGCTTGATTTGAGCCTTGTCTACACTGCATTAGCTCCCTTTATAACTTTCTGGGAAGCTCCAATGCAGCCACGTACTAAAAATTTGAGGTTTTACCCCACCCACCCATGCGCACCACCCGCCCAGGAATTCTAAAACAGGGAATGGAACAAACAGCAGAAGAAAGAATTCCACAACACCTCCTGCTGCCTATAACCCACTTGAAGTACAAACTTTCAGTTTCATATTCATGCTTTTTATTATTTGCAACAATATACCAAGCTATATACACCCCCCTCATCACTGTGCTTTTGGTTACTTCCCTATTGACTGTAATGGAGGCATGGAACTACCTCCCAAAAAATGCCCTCTCCCTCCCTCCCACCCACAGATTAGAATTTCTGGAAGGTGCAGTATCTTTTGCAAAAAGTACTATCCCCCCCCCTTGCAGATGAATCCCAAAACACAACTTAGAAAAAAGTGCTCAAGTGAGATCACCTAGAAAGCTGTTACTACTACTGTGTCCAAAAAAGCAAGAGGAAGCATTTGGAAATCTGAAGCTTGAGGAGAATAAATTATAACTTGTCCTTACCATTCACAAAGTGCTGCATTAGCTGAAGAGAGTTCAGAGCATTTAAGAGACTGAAGGCAGCAGTGCTTCCATTTGTTTTCAACATGTCCCCAACAAAGCCGTATTTTCAATGCTCATATCTGTGGCAAGAAATATTTTATTCTAAACTTGCTAAAATGGACATTTGCCCACACTGGATGATCACTAGGTCTGTGGAGCACTTTGAAAATAAGAATTACAGATCAATTTCACAAATGGTATAGCTAAGCAGACTCGTCCAAAGCAGTACAGACTCCAAATGGTAGGGGTAGGATTTTGCTGTTGTTGTTCTCTGCATATGGGACTTTCTAAACTGCAACAAGTGCTCAAGATTAAAATTTAAATATCTTAATTTTTTGTTGTGCTAAAGGCATTTGGATCAAGGGGGCCATCTACAATGTGCTCCTTGGAAAATTAACTTTATAAAACCTTACGCTCAAACAAAAACACGAAGAGTGTCTATTATAAAATAAAGTTATCAAGGCCCTCACCTCTACAAGGATACGAGATGTAGAACCCTCCTGCCCCAGGAAAATATAGGACGGCAGCATTAAAATCAGCATGCATACTACACAGAAGTAGCTGCCAAATGCGATTTAAAAACTGATCATCCCAAAATAAAGTACAGGGATACTCAATCTCACAATTAAAAAAAGAGAAGCTTTTTGAGTAGTCTACCAACACTATAACCTAACATACAAATACCAACTTTTAACGGAACATTTTATAACCACTTACAGCACAATTTGTTGTACGCTGGAAATACTGGGAAAATAATGTCCTGTTACTGTTTACCTAAATGGTGCCAATTTAAAGAAAGCCCTTGATTGCATTTAGCACTGAAACTAAACTAAAAATAAAATCTCATAATAATTTTGGTACACAAGTGGTTTCCAAGACTAGCCCTATCTCCCCACGGAATTGACTTAGGAACTTTTATAAAAACTTAAAAGTCATAGGCAAGGAATTCAGGAGTCACTCGCTGCAATGAAACACTGCATCTGCTTTCTTAATTTACTGTCTTCTAAATGCAATTTAGGAAGCAATAAGGATATGATAGGAGATTATGCCAAAATACTAATTAATGTCTTTGTACTTGATCACTTTCTAATTCAGTACTCATTTTTGGAACTCTTCCATCATGACAACTCCTACCACACTTTGTTCATAATCTATGCTGCGAGGAAACCAAGCCAAGTAAAATATTTTCAAATGGCTTGTTTGCCTTTACCATATCTAACATGTAGTTGAATTCCTTCCTATTTACATTAGTACATTTTACAAAAGCAAACTGGTTGAAATTGAAATTTTTTTAGCTGACCAGGACTGGTAAGAAAAATTATCTTGGGGTGGGGTGGGGATTGGAACCAAAGGAAATCTGATTCTACCAGAAGTGCGGAAATTTCTTTTGGACATATCATTTAAAACTGTGATTTGATTTTTTAAAAGGAGGCAAGCCATTATGTAGATAGATTTTCCACCTAATATTCTAATGAAGTATACCTTGATGATTTATAGACAAGCTGCTTTTGCCACTGATAACCACACTTCCTGCAAAATTTCATTCTTGTCCTTAAGAATGTTTATGCAACACTGAATCTAACCCCCCTCCCACTGGAAGAAAAAAGGAAATGGAAAAAAAGGTATGCTTGGTAAACTGATTCTCTGCAAACTATGAACTAATTTTCCAGTCACTGAACTAGGAAAGGAAAATATCACTTAACAGTGCCCCCTTGAACTGGTGCCTTCATCAACTGAAAGTTGCTAATGTATATTATGTTTTTCTATGAAAAAAATCACTGTCACAATTCTACCTCTTAAGACCCTGCATACATTACAACAGTGCATTAGTGATACAAATTGTAAAATACTTTTCGGCTCCTTTGGATTTTGCATATGACATTTTTTTTTTTTTGCATCAGTCACAGCAGGTAGATTGAGCAAGCTTTGTGTGTTCTTAGACATGCATTCAACTAGATATGATCAATAAATTTATACTCCCTTTAATCATTATAATGAGCTAAAAATTGCAAGACAGTCCACAAAACAGGATTTGCTTTAAGACTAACTGCTGGAGTTCCAAGATGTAAGATATGCAGCACTGGGAAATCTTCAGTGATGTGGAATTAGTGTTTAGCAAAGGATTGCAAGCATTCAGAAGAAATAAGTCCTGGTTGGAGGCATGAGGGCTTCAGCACCAACTTTTAAACCTCAGTTACTTGATTGCATATCTCCCATCTTCAAACCTACATTCAAAGAAGGGTAAGAAGGCAACTAAGTAAATGTCTGACCTCGTGTAACAAGATCTATGCAATGTCAAATATAGAAACAATTCAAATGTGGCACATAATAGTTACTTCTGCACTCAGACTCGCCTTGTTCCATATACTCACCAAGAACTGGCAGATTCATAGCTTCTGCTCAACAGAAAGATAGCCCTATTCTTCTGTCTGCCTCCTCAATCTAACCTAGCAGATTTCACTTTCAGAGCTCATCTATCCAACTTATACAAGAAAGCCTAAAAACCCCATGACTCAAGACAGCCAGATTCTGCAAATGGATCAGAACATTTCTAGCAGAGTAATCAGATCCTCAGTCAAAGAGATATATGTAAAATGTTAAAGCAAAAATCAACAGTAAATGCCCTGTTTCAGGCAGTTAACAGCTGCTCAAAGCTTGTTTTAACTTTAAGATAGTCAGGAAAATTGAATGAGGGAGACCCTTCCATCAGGGAACTCCATGTGCTGCTGGATCATATTAATAGGCAGTGCAGATGTTAGCCAAAGCTCACTCTCATCAGTACCCCCCACTGAAGCCCACACAGTTCCGAATCCAAATGCCGAATTCAAAAATTTCTCTGCCAAGTATTCATCCAAGGAGCCCAAAGCACAAAAGCGACATAGGTGGGTCTTTAACCAGGTAAATAAATCTTGCTTCATTTTATTTTTAAATTTCTTTTGTACAGAGTGAAAAACTATACATGGATATAAGACACTCTTCAGAAAGCCAAACCGCTGTGGTTGTAAAACGTTCTTTCCCAGAAACAAGCAATGTTTAAGAACATATAACCAAGCCTGACATTTACAGGTGACACATACCAACACACCTACTATCAAAAAGTTATAACTTATCCTGTGACTTGTGCTAGAACTCTAGCAAAGACGTTGCTATGTTTGATACAACCATGCCAGTACTTACACTGTGTGGTAATCACCACTGTGGGGGCACGTAGCTATAGGTTGGCGTTCCTGGGGCCCGATAGGTGGGCATTGTAACTGGGTGTGGGGCTACAGGAGTTGGGGAATGCGTTGTCAACAAGGTACCTGAGGAGCAAAGAATATTTTCATAATAAAGTTGCTTTAATTTAGAAGTCAACATATCTATAAAAACTTAGTAAAGGTAAAGGGACCCCTGACCATTAGGTCCAGTCGTGGCCGACTCTGAGGTTGCGGCGCTCATCTCGCTTTATTGGCCGAGGGAGCTGGCGTACAGCTTCCAGGTCATGTGGCCAGCATGACTAAGCTGCTTCTGGCGAACCAGAGCAGCACATGAAAACGCCATTTACCTTCCCGCTGGAGCGGTACCTATTTATCTACTTGCACTTTGACATGCTTTCGAACTGCTCGGTTGGCAGGAGCTGGGACCAAGCAATGGGAGCTCACCCCGTCGCAGGGATTCGAACCGCCGACCTTCTGATCGGCAAGTCACATAGGGTTTAAAAGGAACATCGTTTTGCAAGGCCATGTGTCCCTTTTGCTCACCCCCCCCAATTTTGTAGCAAAAAAAGGAGAGAAAGTTACACACTGAGAGGCAGGTATATCATCCTAGTTCGGGGCCGAGACAGTGTGTCTCATGAAGCTACATCATGAGTTACACGGAACAGGAAAGGTTTTTAGGAAGATAGTTAGCCTCTCCCACTCCCTGCCCCAAGTACATCCTCTGAGCAGCTCTTCAGCTTGCAGTATTTCCCCACTGTATAAAAATGCTTCATATAAAATTTATCAGTAGAATTGGGTGACATGGTTCACAAGTCAAACTAAGCCAAATCATGGCTCTGAAGGAACACATGACTGTGTGAGATTTGAGAGAGGGGATCAAAGTCACTTTGTGCCTCCCCATTGCTCTACTGGCTGTGACCATGGTTTGGTTTAGCATGTTGTCTAAACCTGGGATCACGGCTTAGCTCTCCTGGACAGACCTTAAGCTGTGTAAACCATAGGGCAAACAGATTGTGGTTAGTCTGTGGAAAGCTAAACCATGACCCCTGGTTCACAGAACACACTAAATCAAGCCATGACTCAGGGCAGAATAACCAAGGAAGAGTAAAGTGGCCACAATCTTTGCCCCTGGAACCCCCACACTAAGCGATGTGTGAACCAGGCCAAAGTCTCAAGTTAAAATCCAACCACCACTCAAGTGTATGGGCAGCAGATTTTAGAGTAGTTAATGCACATTAACTTGTGAAACTCAAGTGCTACAGGATCTAGTCCTAAGTGGCATTTTTTAAAAGTATTGATCTCAGTCATGGTAGCCAAGAAAGTTCAGATATTCAATATCCACTTATCACAAGTTGCACGATAATTTACATGCAATATCAAACTGGCCACACTGATTGCTATCAAGTGACACTAAATACTGACCCTGGTCCAGAATGCAGTATAACAAAAATTTATTTACCTGCTGACATTGCCATTGTGGTCCCAGCCACCATTCCCATAGTGACACCATTTCCTCTGGGGGGCGGAATTGGTGCTGGGTACATAGTTGCTGGCATTCCATTGGGTTGCACAACTGTAGTGTGATGAATTACGTGGGGTGGTGCTGCATATAAAGGCTGTGTGTAATAAGTGCCTTGCTGTTGGAAAAAAATAGTTGGTTTAGTAAAATCCTTGCCACCACTGCATGCAACCTAAAAGGGCACACAAAACTATTTCAGGTAAAATACCATTAAGTACAGACCACAGATATAAATTGGAGTGGTGGGGTGTGTGAGAGAGATCAAAGGCAGAAAATTACATCTCTTTCCTCCTCTGACATTACAACTCAGGTGGGAGTTGGACCCCTGAAAAAACAAACCAACCCACAACACTTGCCTTGTTAATCTCTAATTGAACTGTCATTATTCTCACACCTGAAGTCTCACATTTTGTTTCCAAAAAGCAAGATCACCTTTCTACTGAGATCCTGTAATTTTATCAGCTTAAATCTTTGGGATAGTTTAATAAAGCAGGGTTATCTTTCTTTTTTGTTTCACCCTGCATGCCACAAGGCAGTAATTCAGAATCTAGACGTTTATGTCTATTGTTTGTATTTGCAACTATTTCTCTTAAGAGAAAACAAGCATTTTAAAGATGGAGTTCATTCACAAGCATGTTTCTATGCATGTTTATTTTTGTCTGAAGTTTGTCTCTGACATCTGTTAGGAAAGGGTGCACAGGAAGGTAGCTTTAGGTATATATTTATATGTGAATCTGGTCAAGTACAACACCCGCAATTGGGGACTTGCATAAAGCTAAAAGATTCCTTGCACACAGAAATCTAGACACCCAGGGGAAGGATTATATATAGCTTTTTACATCTGTGTTTTTATATCCATGGAGTCTTAATGTGTGCAATGTTCCTACTTGCCATCTGAGTGGCAAAGCTCAGTTGCAGGTTTACACCTCAGTTATTTGTAGGCAGAGATTTTGAGGAAATGTGAAAATTGAACCTAGAGGAGAGGGTGGAAGGCACAGAAAAAACCTTTTCAGCTGAAGCAAGTAATTTTATCCATCTTGATACTTATTTTTAGGCCCCATTTTAAAAAGAGCTCATTTAGTATTTATATAAATGCAAATCTTTCTTCCATGGTACTCGAGACAACATACATATGGTTCTCAAGCAGTCTCTCACTCAGGCACCAGCCAGACCCAGGTCTCCTTAGCTGCAGCAAGTTTACTGTTTCATGTGCCTTCCTTCAGATCATTCAACTGAACCTTTTTTAAAGAATTGATTTATAAAATTTCCATGCTGATACTGGGATGCGTGGCCTACATTACTGAACTTCTATGCCTTGCCACACAGCAGCCATATTTACCAAAACAATAACATCACCACATATTTCCAAGAATGATAACGCTCAGAGAAATCAGATATTCCCACAAGTACAGTAACCTAACAGAGTAATGTAAAGCAAGAGCAACCAAAGTCAAAACTTTCTGCACAACACACTGATTCTACAGAAAACACTAACAGAGTAGAGAAGGATAGCATCCTGGGCTGTTACAGAATTAATGCAAACAGTAAATCTATACTTTTTACCTGTGCATATGGATTCTGCTGTGGATAGGCACTTCGAACCGGATACACTGCAGTCTGATAGGGGTTGGGTGATGAAGAATAGGGAGGCACTGCACCACTGGTAGGTGAACAGGAGACTTTATATGGTGTGCCTGGTGTATAACCTATAAACAGAAAAAAAACAAATTTAATCTTTTTGCTGAGCTTTAATCAGATTTATTTAACACACCTGGGCACAAATGTGAGCCTTCCATTAAGCCGTTTGAATGCACATACATGCTTTCATAATTTCTAACAATCAAGCAGATTAATAAACCACAAGAATTAGTAACATCCATTAAATTTTCTAGTGAAATAGAACCTGCTACCACACACAATTCAATAATCAAAAACAACAACAACAGAATATCAAAGAGTAGTGCAGGCATTAAGGTTGGTCAATATAGTACTTGGGTTTTAGGTAAAGCACAACAGTTAGGTAAAGTTAGGTAAAGCACAACAGAAATGTTGCACTTTATTTACCAGATTAAAAATAATAATACGAGGCAGCAAATATTTATAACTTTGGAATACTCTGCCAATAGATTCAGCAGGTCCCCTTCTGTTTCAGCTTTTAAATAGGTGCTGAAAACTTTTCTGTTCTGTCAGGCTTATGAGGGCAATTAAGAATACGTCTTTCCACAATAGTTAGCCAATTTTGGATTTATTTTTTTTGTATGGTTTTATGTATAGTTATAAACCACTCTTATTTATTTATTTTATAAATAGAAGTATATATACTTATAACCAAATAAATAAAACAAAACAAGTCTATTCACTTTGCAAAACTGATTATGGTTGAAGTTAGATTACACAATCCATTTTGAAGTGCTTTTATACAGATTTCTGATAACCATGATGCATAGCACTATTTTAATATAGCTGCCATTCACCTAGCTAGAAGCATTGTGATATTTCCACTAAGTTTTGCACTTCAGGGGCGACGGAGGGATGGGGAGATACAGGGAAAACGAACAACACTCATCTTGTAATAATATCTTACAAGAACTTTCTTTAGATCTTGGAATACAAATACACACAGAGCAAAAAACAATAATCCTGGATCCAGAACAGATCTGAACCTGGTTGCTAAAACCCCCGGGGGTGGGGGCAAGGTGTTCAAGAGGATGGTGGCTAATTCTAAAATTGGGTAGGATGTGGAGCTGGACGGACAAGGCACAATGATTAAAAAATGGAGGGATGCCCCACACTGTGAGGGGACCTTGGTTCAAACCACCTTTTGCTCCAATAATCAAGAAAAATAATGGCTATGCAGTGCACCTTCCTTCTCCACCCCACCCCCAGCAACAGCAATCAGGGATACTGTGCACTGGCAAACAGTCCATTACCCAATAGATTGTAGCAGTATCCTCACATGCAGGGAATACCAAGGAAAGAATACACAGTGTAACCAGGAAGCCCCCGTTGTGCAAACGCCAGTAAACTCTGTGATGCACGAAGAAGGGAACATGGAGTACATGTTGGCGAATACCCAACACTCCTCTCCATCTTACTGCCAAAAACTTATGACTCATTTATCTTCACAGGATAAGAGCAAAAGACAAAAAGCAGAACAAACAAAATGCAGATAGTGTTCCATTGCAACTCCCTACATTGGATGATAAGGTTTAGTCTTAACTTCCTCAATATGTGAATAACCAATTGCAAGTGCCAAGGAGACTACCCATGTGAGAGTGGGAACTAGGCTGAAGAACATCAACTGGAAGAGTACACAGGAGGCAGAACCCTCTCTTGCACGTTCACCCTCTAATGAGCACCTAGTCACAGAACCCTACTGCAGGCAATACCCAATATTTACCATCCCCATGTCTCTCAACAGGGAACCAGGTTGCCTTCGACACACAGAGGGAAGAAATCAAAGAATTGAAGGGACCCCAAGGGTCATCTAGTCCAACCCCCTGCAATGCAGGAAACTCAACTAAAGCATCCATGACAGATGGCCATTTAACATCATATTCCAACCCACAGCGTCATGCCTCCCAGAATCAAGGCCTATAATAGGAAACGGGAGCGGTGGAATTGTCCTAATTAATTCTCACAGATATCATGTTCCTTTCCAGAGTACATGACAGACAAATGCCATGGATGCAACAGTACCTAGCATGGAGCTGGGGAAAGATGAACCTGCTACCTCTGTCTGTCACACTCCTCTCTCAAACATAGCAACAACAAAAAGTCTGGCTACTCAGTTTCTTTGTTTCAGAAATGCTCTGCAGATGCCAAAAAATATCACTATTCCCACCCAATGCTTTATATGGTGACTTCGACATGTCTGCATACATACCTGTTTGGAATGTAGGATTTGCTGCAGGGTACATATTTGGAGAATAGGCAGGAGCAGCAGCTGCATAGCCCATTGGGAATCCAGCTAAGAGAAAGCAGTTGAAAATTACTTTTAGAAATACCTCCAATGATCTACTTGTATTGTTTTCCAAGCTTACAACTAATGAAAATAAGGTGAACAAGACTTCTTTCAATTATATCTCAGTGATGTAATCAAGCCCATGATTAATATTGTGAGGCTTCAGGCTATAAACCAGGGGCATCCAATGTCGTGCCCTCCTGATGCTGTTAGACTCTAAACCCCTCAACCCTAGCCAGCTGTAAGGCTACAGGACATGTCTAATCATGGCCATCTAACCCCTATGCTTCCAAGCCAACTGCACAAAGATAAAAAAAACTGCTTCAGTCAGCCAAAAAGAGGTTGAAATTATACAGTGCAATGTAGCCACTTTTCTGAGGAGATCTTCATAGGATAGGCATTAACAATAAACCAAATGTATTATATAGTACAGGGGTCAGCAACCTTTTTCAGCCGTGGGCCAGTCCACCATCCCTCAAACCATGTGGTGGGTCGGACTATATTTTTTTGGGGGGGGGAGGATGAACAAATTCCTGTGCCCCACAAATAGCCCAGAGATACATTTTAAATAAAAGGACACATTCTATTCATGTAAAAACACCAGGCAGCCCTTACAAATAACCCAGAGATGCATTTTAAATAAAAGGACACATTCCACTCATGTAAAAACATGCTGGTTCCTGGACCGTCCGCAGGCCGGATTTAGAAGGCGATTGGGCCACATCCGGCCCCTGGGCCTTCGGTTGCCTACCTCTTATATAGTACATTGCCACATATGAAACGGCTATGGATCTATTTCATTGTGTTTGTTGTCCATGCATCAGGAAGTTGTGGTCAGGTGTGGATGCCAGCCAGATGCATAGGCTACAGAATGGCAGGTGTTTATCCTTAACCTATACAATGCAAAGCCACCCCAACTCTCTAGAATATTTTTTTAAAAAAATAACCTCTGCACAGTTATACGCAACCACGTGCATTCTGCTAATTCCAAAGTCCAATTATCTGTATTTTAGATGCTAGAGGATGAGGGCTGTAAAGCACTCCCATCCACGTAATACACAGTAAATGGTAAATGCTAGGACCTTCAATATTACTACCACCCAGTATAGCACTTTTCCTTTGTATCGAGAGAACTGTTTTTAAGATTACAAAGTAGCACTGATACTAGGGACTCTTGTGGTTTGTACGAGCCTATGTGTGTAAACGAGAAATTCAGCAACAGGGCCTTAAACCCTGCTGCTGGGTGGGGGAGTCTTTTGCTTTATGACTCATTTTTGTGGACAAACCTTTTAGTGCATTTTTAACTGATGTATGCTCTACGTTTTGTAGTTTCATATTTAATATGAGTCACTTCAGGAGTTCTTTGTGGAAAGCAACACAAAGGTAAATAAAAAAATTAAAAACTCTAAATATTATTAAAGTCACCCCTAATATTCTCACTCTCAACTACTTTTTAAAATAGGGAGATATTTTAATGAGTTATAAAATAATAATTTACAATAGCATTCGAATGTATATTTTCAATGGTATGGCCTGAAATGAGACAACAGCAACAGCAGACTATTTTTGGCTAACTAAGCACTTCTACATGGAGAAACAAAGGGTGAAAAGCACAATGCTTTAAAGACATGCACTGGCAGAAAACGATGTTAGGGACACAGGAAGCTACCGGGCCAGACCAGTGGCCCAACTAGCTCAGTAATGTCAACACTGAGAGCCAGTGTGGTGTAGTGGTTAAGAGCGGTAGTCTCGTAATCTGGGGAACCGGGTTCGCGTCTCTGCTCCTCCACATGCAGCTGCTGGGTGACCTTGGGCCAGTCACACTTCTTTGAAGTCTCTCAGCCCCACTCACCTCACAGAGTGTTTGTTGTGGGGGAGGAAGGGAAAGGAGAATGTTAGCTGCTTTGAGACTCCTTAAAGGGAGTGAAAGGCGGGATATCAAATCCAAATCCAAACAATGACCTAGCAGCAGTTCTGCAGGGTTTCAGGCAGGGAATCTTTCCCAGCTCTACCAGGATCAATCCTAGGACCATATGAATAGAAAGCAAATGCTCTGCCACTGAGCTATGGCCCTTCCTGTGTTCTCTTATCTGCAGTTAGTTACACGACAAAGGTTAAGCCTGCATCCAAAGCATTTTTCTATTTGTATGTATTCTTTTCAAAATAAAAAGCAAGTTCAAAACAGGCCGGGTTCAGACATCATGAAAAACCAAATTGTGGCCTTAGCCTGAATGTTAATCCCCACAACAACCCTGTGAGGTAGGTTAAGAGGCTGTGACTGGCCCAAGGTCATCCAGTGAGCTTCATGACTGAGTGGGGATTTGAACCCTGATCTCTTAGGTCCTAGCCCAACATTCTAACCACTGCACCACACTGGCTTCCTAGAGTACTTCTGCTATGGAACAGCTATATAAATTAAGTAGGTAAATAAATATTGCAAAAGCAAAATGTCACTTGGAGAAGGATCTGAAGTATTTCCCTTGGAGCTTGAACATGTTTTATTCTGGATTGCTTTATCTGATGTTTCAATGTGTTGTAAACCACTTTGAGATTTTTTTCTTTAAAATATGAATGGTATAGAAGTGAAATTAATTATAATAATAATCAAACTGCATGAAACATTAAGTTGTTTATATGTTGCCATATAAGAAAGGTTAGTTTAAGCTAAAACAGTTAGAAACCAGCAATTTAAACTAAGGTTCAAATCACCTGCAGCTTTCAGAAATGCAGAGGTAGGAAAAAGTGTCTCCCCCAACCCAAACACTATACATGGTCCTTCCCATTCCTTGTGGCCTCAAAAGGGCAGAAACTATCAGCACAGCTCTCTGCCTAGACATAGGTTTACCCTGCAGGCATTGTACATTCCCTTGACCTTATGGATTCTGGTAGATGGTACAGTCTAAGAGCAATCCTCTATTTGTGGTGGCCCTTACAGCCAAATAAAATGCCTCTGTGGTTCTGACATGACAACACACAGTCCACTTTTCTCTCTGGAGATATTTGTGCAGTCCACAGGCTATATGTGAAGTTTGTCACTCGGGTACTTACTTGGGAGTAACTACTACTACTCTACACCAATGCATCCTGAAGTTAGGTTTACTACAATGTCCAGTTTGATTAATAGACAGCACCCAGGTAATACATTTAAGAGATTCAGTTACATACCTGGATAACCAATTCCTTTGGCATTTGCATAGGGAACCCCAGATGATCCAGGACTATAAACAGGATTCATGATTTCGGAAACTATAGGGGGGAAAGCATTTGTATAGAAAAAGAATAGGGAGTCTTAGTCATCAATGTTCAACTAAAATGTGAAGCAGTAGGAATCCAATATTATCAACTACATTTTCATTATTCTGGCATGTGCTTGCCACAAAGTCCCTCTTAATAAGTTCTTTATTTTAATGGTGCAACTAATATTTTGTTAACATATATGGCTATATGTACCTTTCATGATATCTGGGCATGTATTACATGAGATGCAATAAAACTGTCAACAGTTGTTACTGCTATCTAAAAAAAAGAACCATTTCTCAAGAGTGGTCTTTAATTTATAACAGGTAGACAAAATGGCACACCTCAAATGGTGTAATCCCAAACACATTTATTCACTCAGTAGCACAAAAGGTTAATGACACTTGCTCTCCTTTTAAGTATGCTTGGGACTGCAGTCTAAAGCACTGTAGATGAGCACAATTGACAGAGATGAGACAAGCAGTTTTTGACACTACATTTTGAAGTGTGGTTCATAGTCTGGTTTTACTTTTGAAAAAAAAGATGTCCCATATAAAGAAGGTGTCTGCCAAGAGCAAAAAGAAGCCCCACTGTGACCTATGGGGCTTACTCATTACAGCATGCTTAGGATCCCATCCTTAAGTCACCCAAGACTTGTCTTGCCATCATGTGAAATACATAATGCAACTATCTGGGAGAAATTGAGCAGTTTTCAGCAGGATGGCTGATTGGCTAGGAAAGTGTCTGGGAACTCTATGTACAGTATGTCGCCTGCAGTTCCATGATGGGGGAAAAATGTGGACTATAAATGTACTAAACAAATAAGCAAAACATACTGCTAGTTTGGCTTCTTGGTGTTCAGTCAAGAAGTAGAGCACAACAAATATAAGGTGAGACACCGGTGGCATCACCTACCACGATGTGTGAGTGTGTTCAAGCATAGTTTAAGTCAGGGTTCAGTATTATGAGAACAAGCCTCTGGCCTGAGTGCTTTCCCGCTCCTCTTGCATGGGGACAAGAAGGTGACCACAAGCCTCCACTTCCATTTTAGATTAACTGCAGTTTGGTGCCCCATGAGAAACAAACTATGATTAATCTCAGTGACAGGTGAAACAGCGCAAGTGGAAAGGTTTTCTCAACCATCCATGTAATTGAAATCAATACACACTACAGCATATAAGATCAAGCTTACACATTTCATTTTGGAAACGAAGCTATGTCCCCCAGACTACTTATGGGTAATAGTTCATAAACTTCATGAACTATGGCTTAAAGTTAATGATGGGTTGTCAATAGATGCATGACAACAGCAAGCTATGATAGGGCGTTTGTACTTTTAAAATTTGTGTAAAGAAGAAATTGAGGCAGCTGCCGTTTCTTTCACCCCTTCATGAGAAACTATCCTTGCCAAAATTCCACTTCTTTAAAAGTAAGTATCCCTGTTCTCAGTCACATATGGTAACTAGAGAGAGAAAAGCCCAATTTTCGTGTATGCTTAAAGAACCACGTTTTGGCCTGTGTTGCAAGCAATTATTGAAAGCCGATTCTAGGTTTGAAATGATTGGAGGTTACAGTTGTAGAACACTGATCACAATACTCAAGGGTGCAAATATGAGGGATGTGTAAGCACCTTAACTGTGTCTTCATTTTCAACTCAAGACCTTTCAGAACTGAATCACTGGAGTGCTTTTCACACTTTTCAGAGTACTTACAGAGCAATTTAGCTCTTCTGGATTGCAGAAATCTTATGTTATTAGTCTACTGATATCAACAGAGCCTACTTTCCTTCAGTGCACTTAAGACTGGGGCATAAGGGAAACAGCATCAAAAATAATAATTTTACATTGCAAAATGCTGGTAAAGTTGTGTCTGGCCCTAGCATTTTTTGAAAGACCAGAATGTACACCATTTGAATCATAATCAAAAATATTCATTTAAACTAACCTAGTGACAATAGTTTACAGAACAGAATTACAAAGAAGCATTGTACCTCCATAATTCTGAAGAAAATTATAGAAAAGTGGGTCAATGATGATTCTTCCACAGCTTGAGGCCTTAAATGCAAGATAATTCTTATAATGTTCATTTCTATATCAGCAAGAAATCAATCTTAAATGTGCAGCACTAATACTCTGGAACTCTCTGCTTATTAACATCAGGCAGGTACCTTCACTGTACTGACATCTGATAAAAACTTATTTGTTTAGGAAAGTGTACTCAATTTATTTTTAAAAAAATGTATACTTGCTGATGTTATTTTTAAATAAACATTTTAGTTATTCTACTTTATGCAAACTGCTTAAAGATGTTTATCTTTTGATTAAGTGGTCTATAAATTATGTTTAATACATAGATTAGAAAACAAGGAAACTGACCTCTAGTGTATAAATACCACTTCTGCCAATAATCCTCCTACAACATTTTGATGAAATTAGTAGTGAAACTGGGTAGGATAAACTGAGCTAAGATGAAGCTGTTTGATGAACAGAAAGCATACGTATATGGGTAAAAAAAAATCTAGACTCTTTTTGGCCTGAAGGGTGAACTGCATGTATCCCACAGATAACAGTGTTTGAGAAGTTCTGCTGTTTTATGAGCTTCAAACTTTTATAACATTTACAATTATAGGCTTCTCTAAAAAGATTATATCTGAGAAGACAGAAAGTCTAGTCAAATTAGTAGGGTGCTACTATCAACATCTTACATTTTTATGATTATGTTTAAATCCTCCTCATGTCTTTGCAAAAAATAAGCAACCTAAAGAATAAAATGTATGTGTTTAGGTGTTAGAAGAACATATGTCGTTAAAAGTTATGTGCGTACCCTGAAAACCCAAGACAAGACTAGAGTGGCAGTAGGTCTTGAAAGATGGGGAAAGTTATAGGGAAGAAACATTAGTTAAAAGAATTTCAAAACTTGACTTTCAGGACACAATGACATTCACAATGCAGTGTACAAAGTTTCTCAGTGGAAACATAACATATGAAACCATCATATTAAAGCCACATTACATTATCTCTTTAAAATAAACAATACCAATTAATTTAAAATACAGAATGAAATAAAAATGGCCAAGTTTTCTCTTTAAAAGTTTCAATAATCAGGCCACAAGTATTTTCTGAGCAAGGTAATTCCACAAATATGTGGCCACCATCAAGAATCTGGTCCTTGGTATTAATCATTACTTCTTTTATTGATAAGATAGAGAGCAGGGCCTCAGAAGATGGTCTTAAGGCCTAAGTTGGCTGTCAACTGCAGGTGGGTTCTGGTTCCAAATCAGATAACCTGGTTCCTAATCAGGCCAAAATCAAGAAAATCAGGTTGACTGCTCCGCTGACCACAAAACTAAAAACAGTAATATTCTGCTGCCTAGAAGTTGGAACTGAATGCAAATGGCCAGAGAATTGACAAAAAGGAAAACTGTAGCAGAAACAGCTGGAAAGGGTATAGTCATAGTGAAGAACAACTAACAGAAACAAACGAGTTACTGCTCAGGGTTATGACAATGACAAGCTAAGTTGTAATGTAAGGCATTTGGTTTATTCAAGCATGATATAGATGGCACAAATATAGAAAAAGAAAAGCTCAAATGCCAGATGTGAGGACACTTTAATTGTCTGCCTGTTAGCTTGTATTCAAAAAACAAAGCAAACTCCAATCTATCCCTTTCTGAGTAAGGTTAAAATCAAGGCAGCACACATGGCAGCAATGTTTCTCCATTACTATATGGTTTAAATCCTAGAGATTAGATTAAGATGAGCAGACAAGAGGCAAATATTGTTATTAAGGAAACTCTCAAACCACACTTGATAATAATTAAAACAGACAACACAAACATATTCTTTGGCTTACAATGTCATTAAAAAGTATTTTGAACAAGTGCTACCAGTCTACTGCAAATCAGTCTAAAAGGCCTTCAAGTGCTCTATTTTTATTATAGCGATAACTATAGAGCAAGTTGGATTAAAAAATTAAGGAAAACATCATGAGGGTATCATTATGTATATTCTGTATTTGATTTTTGGACTTAGAGCCATTTCAAGGATGATCTGCCTTATCTGTGCACATATGAAACCTGAATTGGTATACCCAAATATGGAAACTAAGGTCCAACAGATATTTAAAGGATCCAGTTTAAGGAACATGGCTGCTAAGACAAGACTTGGACCTGCTTTAAACAAGTTAGCCAGTGACATATTGCAAGGACACTTGAACCTCTTTGGCAAACTGCTCCGAAACATACATAGCAAGCCTCACAATGTGCATATATAACATATGCCTAAAATGAAGTGATGGGCAGCCCAATCCTGCATATTTATTTGGAAGCATTAAGTGGCACCGTAGGGTGACAAGAAAATAGCCGTGCAATCTGGTCCACATGTCTATGTTAAAAAGCCATCAACTGCTTTCAGTGGAAGCCACCTCCATGTCAGCGTGCACAGACAGGCCTGCTGCCATTAAACACGCGAGACCCACGAAGCCCACCCACGTTAGTCAAGACTGAGCCTTGAAAGACACAGCCGGTAGGTATAACGGGCGCGATCGTCTCTCTCAGCGACCGCCTCCAATAAGCGCAAACCGGTTTAAATCCTAAAACGCCGTTTTCTTTGTCACCGCGGAGCGTCGGGGAAAAGTAAGCGGCCCAAGGAATTCCAGGGCAATTGGGCAGATCCTTTTCTGTGCAAGAGACGCAGCCGCCCCCGCTTCTAAAGCTAGGCCGAGAAAAGCCTTTAAAGTGACCTCTCCCCCCTCCCCCAGCACAAAATAGAAGGAGAAAGACTGGGGAGAGTTAAGGCGCCCGCAAAGCATCGCCGTTAAGCAGCACGGCTAGTGCAAAAAGGGAAAGGAGAAGGGGGGGGGGATCGCCCCCGGAAAACGCGACGAGCAGAGCTGCTGCAGGTCGCCCGCGGGCGCGAGTCTGCGGCCCCGGCCTTGCCTCGGCCAAGCATCCCTCGCCCGGGGCCTTGCAAGGGAACTGACTGCAGCGCCGCCGGGGAGCGACTAGGCCAGCCGAGGGGAGGGAGCCCGCCGGGCAGCTGTTCTGGCCGCGGCCCCGAAAGGCTGCAGAGGCCGGGAGCTGCAGGTACGAGGACGGCCGACCACCTCGGCCTCCCCTCAGGGCAGGGGCTGCGGGGGGGGGGGCGCCCGCTCCTTCGCTTACCAGACTGCGGCGCTTCGTCGCGGCGGCGGCCCCGGCCCGGCTGTCGCTCTCTCGCTCTCGGGGCCTGAGGCGGGAGGGTGCCAAGCCTGGGCGGGGTGTGTGTGTGTGTGTGTTAGTGCCGCCTGGAGCTGCCGCTACCACAACTACGAGTCCTTCCTGGCTGCGCCTTCCCGTCTCGCTCTCTCTCGCTCTCTCTCTCTCTTCCAGAGAACTGCGCAGCAACCTAGCGGCCCGAAACGTCACATCCGCCCGTCGGCTGGGTGCAGAGGATGGACGGCGGTGGCGGCGACGAGAGCCGCGCGCGCCTGAAGCCCCCCAAAGCGAGCAGAAAGCCGCTGTCACGTGCGGGGGGAGAAAGGCTCCTTCGCTGCCGCGGCTCCCTGTCACGTGGTCGGAGGAGCCGTCGCGCTCTGCTGTTCTACCCCCTCCCGCCCCCTCAAACTGCAAAAGAAGCAAAGGAGTCGACGGCTGTTTTGTTTTTTTAATTGCTATTTGTTTAGGTGGCCTCAGGGCTGGTCACGTGTAGGAGGCTGGAGGCGCGCGCGCGCACACGCTTTCTCAGGGTCATTTGCACCTGTAAGGCACATGCTCAATATTGTCTTGGACCATCAGAGCGGGAGTGGGGAAGAGAGGAAGCTGCTTATCCCGAGGCAGGCTGATGGCCTATGTAGCTCGGTGTTGTCTGCACTGACTGGCAGCGTTAGTCCGCCCTTCCTCGACATGCTCGGGAATTGAGCTTGGGCAGTTCCCCTTGCAGAACTCGAAAGCTTGCGTGCAATTCTGTGTTATTTTGGTTGGCCTAATAAATGTATAAGGCGTACAAGACAGAGGACGGGGAAATTTCCGGGGTTACAATCACTTCAGGAGCTTGTCCTGCTCCTCCCTTCCACTACCTGTTTCTCTCATGGAGGCTGTGCAGTTGGAGAAAGAAACAGTAGTGGTTCACAATCAAAATAAAACGCTGCAATGCAGTCAGTTAAAACTTAAACTATACAATCCATTAAACACAGTCTGCATTCTTTTGCACTGCATATTTTGAGACCAGGGAGTTTTTTAAAATGTTGGAGCCGGGTAGCTATCCCAATATTGATTAAGAGCACAAAGAGATGCTCATGGCAGCCAGCCACCTTCCTGAGAGGACATGCTTGCATAACTATTTCTGTTGTTTTGGAGCCAAGGTGACTCATTCCTGTACGATAATTATTGCCCATAATACAGTTTAATAGTTAGAGGGCGGATAAGGAGGGTGCCAGAAGGCTAAAATTGTAAACTGGGAAAAGAGTTTTATTGGGTTCCTAAATCACGAAGAGATTTCTACTCACATTGAAATCAGTGCAAATAAAAGACCCCTGCAGATCTTCCGTGCTCCGCAGTGGCGTAGCGTGGGGGGTGCAGGGGGTTCAGGGGGTGCCGGCCGCACCGGGCGCAACATCTGGGGGGCGCTCGCTCGCACTCGCAGCTCTCTGCCCCTACCTGGCTCACTCACTCTCTCTCACTGCAGGGCGGGCGGTGCGACTCCGATCCGAGCCGCTGGGTCGCCGCCCCCTGTGGAGGGGTGGGTGCCAGGCGTGCGGTGCGGAGAGAGAGCGAGGGACTATCTGGGGGAGGGACAGTGCAGCGGCCGCCCAGTGCAGCGCTGAGCGCGGGAGAGAACCACACCAGACCAGCCCAGGCAGCAGCAAGAAGAAGCTGGCAGCGGCGGCAGGTTAGGGGTTAGGGGGCGCAAATTACTTGCCTTGCCCCGGGTTAGGGGGCGCAAATTACTTGCTTTGCACCGGGTGCTGACAACCCACGCTACGCCGCTGGTGCTCCGTGTGGGATAGGTTGAGTGCTGAGCAGAGAAGCATTGAGGTGGGGTGCTGGGCACAGGGCTTGTATATATGCCACTGTCCACGGATTCAGCATTTGTGAGTTGCGGCAAATGTCCGAACAAATGTGAAAAGGGGATTCTGATGAAGTCAACTCTAATACACAAATGTTTACATAATAATATAGCGTAACATAATAATGTTAGTTTTTCAGATGCCCCAAGACTCTTCATTGGTTTAACAAAACTTGCCTTCTGGAAGTTGCTGAAAGGAAACAAAGGTGCGTGTCTTCAGAAATGCACTGCAGAACTGCATCTTACTGTTCTGTAACAAAAAACCACCTCACACAAATGTATGCATTTATAAATCTTATCTATTTGTAACTGCCATTCTTAACCAATAAAATATGTTTAGGCATTCTGTATAACAAAGAGAATATGAGAGCATTCAAATCAATAATGTTTTAATATCTTTCATACAAATCATATTAAGGAAGTGAGAAGGAACATACCTTACTTTCTCTGTGGTGGTCCCCTACCTTTCACACATTTGTGTGTGCATGAAAAAAAGGTCATTTCATTTAATTCATTTTCACCATTGTTTCATGATTTATTTGGCAACATCATATTTGCTTGCTGCCTTTGGCAGTGGTGGCAATAATTTAATTTCATCAGAATTTCCTGGATGTTGCATCTGGGACATGTTGCTGAGAAATGGGAGCTGCCTTTTTTTGTAGCAGTCATTAGTCCTGAAGCACAGCCTTATTCACAACCCATATTTCCAGCATATTTAACCCCACTGATATCAGTGTACCTAAGCATACTTTACTGTGTGGTGAACTGTCCTTCTTGTACTGGAGATTTAGAGCTGACCTATTTATTGTGAAGTTATTTCTTTGATTTATGAAAAATAAAGAAAAATTCTCTCTCGTATTTCTTGAAATATTGTTGGGGACATTACTGTGAATAAAGAATCTTAGGCAAAGTTTATATGTGATATTTTAACTTAAACTTAGGTTTTCATTCTAGGATGTTATGGTATCTCATTGTTCTTGGTTTATGACTTGTGCAAAAGGCTGCATATCTACATGCTATTTCCATAGGCCCTGATTCAGCAAGCCTTGTTCTCATGTGCTAGCTTTCCTGGATCTTGGAATAGTTTTAACGGTTTGTGGCATGTGTTGCATTTCAGACAAAAGCTAAATCCTCTCCCTTGTGTTTCCTTGGATTGTTTTGTTGTTGGACAAAAGCAAAAAAATATAAATATGGAATTACCCTGCCCCCCCTTCAAAACCAGAGCCAAAACATTTTGCTTTAAAAGCACCTTTGCAAGGAGTTCCAACCACAGATTCAATCACTATTGTTTTCTCCCAAGTGGGCCAATATGAAGTCATGAAAGATTTTATTATTATTTATTATTATAAAATTTGTATACGCCCTATGCCCACAGGTATCAGGGTGGTTCCCAACAATATTTCAAGAAATTAGAGAGAGATTTGAAATTTTTTTCAAGGTGTCAATACTTTTTATAATAGTAGTATTTCATTATTATAATAGTACTTCATGAACATCTTTTGAATAGAAAAGTGTACAACCCATCTGGAGTGAGAAACACAGTAATATGTTTTATCCATTCAGAGACTACATGTACATGCAACTATTGCTATTTTGTGATAGTGGTTGAAGATGAGGTGACACCCAAAGTCCAGCATACCTGCTTGCTTGGAAGATATGAGATATCCTACTTCTTCCAGCAAGCACAACGCTGCCAAGATTGGCACCTCCAACTATGTGCCGAAGGCTGCAATCCTAAATCAGGTGTGCAGGGGAGGTGGGAGAGTTGTGGCCACAAAGATGTTGAATTCCAACCATCAATATGGCCAGTAGTGGGAGAAGATGGGAGCTGTAGCCCACCAACATCTGGAAGGTTAAAGCTTCCTCCATCCCTACCCCTAAACACCAGGGGACAGCCCCCGATTAAAACAAGCGGGCTTTACTTGCGAGCGCATTTCCATAGGATCGGGCCGCCTACCGCGCACAATTCCATATTTCCATATCGCTTTACGCTTCGCCTTATCTAGATATTTGTATATAAATATACATAACTGCAGTTTCGTTTTTTGGCATTCTGGGGAGGGACTGTACCAGAACTGACCCAGACGTAATAGGGGCGGAGGAAACCTGCGGGAACGCTGATACAGAATTTTTTTAATGAAACCTTTGCCCTGCCGTCTCCTTCCGCTCTGAGAAACTACAACTCCCATCTACCCTTGCGGGCATGAGCAGTAGACATTGAGTGACGCGGTTGATCATAGGACCCGCCTGGCGTCAGACGAGGGCGGGGCGGGGCGCGCGATCTTGGATCTCCTTTTAGCAACAAGGAAGAATAAGAAGAAAGCGAGGATTGTTGGGGCTCGCGCGGTCGCTTCCAGGCGTAACAGGTAGGCTGGGCCGGGGCTCGTTTCCCCGTCTGCCCGGGAAAGAGCGAAGGGCGGCGGTGTGTGGATCTTGCAATGGGCCGGGGACGGAGGGCGGGCAGCTGGTCCGGCGGCTACAGCTTGTCTGGGCGAGCAGGGGTCAAATCCAACGAGGTCAGGCCACCGTGTTTTGTAATCCCCAGGACTGTAACAAGTGCACGCAGTCTAGGTCGCTGTCCTCGCCTTTTATCCTCCTCGGAGAAGCGCTCCGCTTGCTTCTTGAGGTGCTTCTACTTCCTGCTTTCTTCTTGCTTTTTCCATCTTAGCGTCGGAGGAGAAGGGGGCTCAGTCAGGGCGGAGGTCGTCTGAGTGACAGTCAGCGAAGCCCTTTTTGGGGTGGAGTGGCGGGCTCTTAAGATAACGCATAGCTGTCAACTTTTCCCTTTTCTTGCGAGGAATCCTATTCGAAATAAGGGAATTTCCCTTTAAAAAAAGGGAAACGTTGACGGCTATGAGATAACGCCTTTCAAAGTCGCCCTCCTATTACAGTTGTGCTTTCAAGCTGCAGTGTGGATTAATTCTGGAATTTACAGCAGAATGTAATTCAGGATCCTCGTCAAATAGACCCCTGTGTGCGAGGAGCACAAAATAAGCCGATAAGGTACTTTGTAGTATAATAGCACCCCCCCACCTCATCAAAAAACAACAACCCGGGAACCATAGTTTATGGGTGCTGAGAATTGTAGTTCAGTGAGGGGCGTAAACAAAGCTTTCCAGGATTCTTTGGTGGGCAACACATTCACTAAACATACTGGAGGTGGGGTGGGGACATTGACAGCTTTCAGGACATGGGAGGCCTGCTAGAAAACAAAAGCATCATCTCTACAGATGGTTTCATCGTCAAACTGCTGCTTTTAATTAAATGGTGATGATGTCATTTTTGCTCTAAAAACCACACTTTGGGATGTCGAGCTCTCTTTTCTAACTTGGGTTGTACCACAGTTAATTGGGTGGCGTGTGAAAGTGCTGCTGAAATATGGACAGAATATGGCAGGGTGGGAACTGCTTTGGTAGCTTTGTCTCCAGATTAGAGTAACAGTGAAGATGTGATTTATTTATTTGGTGTGGCGTCATTTCCTCATGACAGCACGCCCACCTGACCATTTGGCTGGGGGAAGGGGGAGTGCCCTGCCACGGGAATGCTGCTTGCATCACTCTGTTGTCAGCGGGAAGCCGGCTTAGCTGGCAGGGCCCTCTGCTCGGCACGGAGGCAGTTTGGACTGCTCTGCCCCTCCCAGATAAGTGTGTATAGGATTGCAGCCTTGGTCCCTGGCATCTCCTGGTGAAAGCAACCTCTAGCAGCAGGACCCAATCCAACAATCCTGCTGGAGACTCTCAGTAAGAAGGGCCGTAATTCAGTGGTGGAGCCCACACCTTATATGAGAAAAATCTCTGGCATCTCCGTGCAGAGGTGGGAAAGACTTTTGGCTGAAACCCCGGAGAACTGCTGCCAGACCCTGTAGACATTACTGAGCTAGATGGATCCATGGCCTGGCTCTGCCTAGTGGAAATTCATACACTCCTATGGACAAGCTCAAGCCCTCACAAAACAATGTCATAATCACAGTAAACCTAGTACAGTGGGCAAAAAAACCAGTACTATATTTTCAGCTGTTTTCATTATTTGTGAGAAAATGTGGTATGCAGTACATAACAAGAGAGAGAGCTTTTCATGTACATAGTAAACACAGAAGCTGAACTTCGATTCCTAGAACAGTTTTAAAAAATGTGTTAATGTGGATACAAGTCCCATAGGATTTACTTCCTGGGGAGATTCTTCTGAACTTCATGGGAAGATTCTTCTGAACTTCATGGGAAGATTTAATAATTTTTTCTTAATCCTTTATCTGTAAATATAGGTGCATTTGGTCTCTCACTGCAAGTCCCTTTCTTTCTGTAATTGAATCGCTTTTTGGTATCTTATCAGCTATATTGTTCCACAGAGTAGCTTCCCCTCCAATTGAACCTGCAACCCCAGGCATGCTTCATTAGTATTGTTGAACTCAGTGGGATTTCTTTTGGAGTAAACCTGGATAGGATCAACCTGCAGCTCCAATTAAACAAGACAGCACTGTTATAAGAGGGGTAGCTAACATGGTGCCCTCCGGATGTTTTGACTACAACTCCCATCAACTCTGATCATTGGCCATACTGATAGCAGTCCACCACATATGGAAAGCACCAGGTTCGCTACCCCTGTATAGTATGTCTGTAGACTGCCACCTCCCATATACTTTAAACACAAGAGACACAGACATACCCTACCCTCTGCCTTGTAAGGAAGCCTGTCTCTCATTTGGAGAAAAAGAGAGACAGAGAACGTCTTTCTGTATCATCACACTGGTGTTACACTGATGCCCTTCTTTTCTCCCTAGCGTTTGGAGATGGCGCTGGTTAAAAGTGGATGGCTGCTCCGGCAAAGTGAGTAATGGATTCTGTCAGCTCTCTCTCTCTCTCTCCTCCCTCCCTGATTTGTTTCGGTGCCAAGCAACACATTATGTAGAAAATCCATGACTGGATCTTATCAAATTTTCTGTGATGTGCAGCCACTGAGGCTGACAATTTGACCTGAGCATGAGCAGTGGGAGAGAGTTTTTCCTCCTGTGCTGATATCCCAATCAAGATTCTCCCTTCCCCAGGAAACTGACTGTGCATCCTCCCCCTCCTCAAAACACAAATGGGGGAGAATGACATTCAGAATCAGGAACCCTCTCCCTACTCCGCTTCTGCTTGGATTAAATTAGCTGTGTTGAATTAAAACAAGACACCAGAAATCCAATTCTAGGTCTCCTTCATTCTGTGTAGTTTGGAATTAAAGTATGACTCTGTTTGCATGCAACGCTAAGGCAAGCAATGACTCAGGACAAGCAAGCATGTTGATGCTTGGAGCAAAAATGACAACCTTGACTAAAGTTCATGGTTTGTATTCAGCAATACAAACCATGAGCCCAGGTTTGGATGCAATGTTAAGCAAAATCATGGCTTAGCTCTGGATAGCAAAACAGAAGTAGCACCTGGGGAGGAGTGAAGCTTCTTCAGTTTTTGCTCTGAGTAACTACAGTCTTGTTCATTCATGCTGATCATGGCTTGGCTCAGCATGTCTGTTTCAGAAAAACATGGCAAAAACGCAAATCATATTTGGACTTTATGTATATATGTGTGTGAATTTCATGCTATGGTGACATAAAACAAATAATGTTTTATGCAAAATTCCTTAAAAGCAATATTTTTGGCCACCAAATGAATAAAAAGATATCTGCTTGGTTCTTTGGTTGCCTGATGTATGGCTAAAGGTTTGTCAGAATATATTAAATAGATGCTATGAAGTAGAAATAGGAGCTTTTTTCTTGACATTAATTGCATTTGCTACTTCTGTTATAGATTCAGAGAACTCTGGTTTAAGAGCATTTCAAGCATGATCACTGAAAGCAAAACAAATATCTAGCAACCTAATCAATGTGGAATTTGATACTGTTTAGTTAGACCTCTCAAAAAACAATTGATCCCTGTTCCTTTTAGGTACTATATTAAGGCGTTGGAAGAAGAACTGGTTTGATCTGTGGGCTCATGGCCATTTGTTATTTTATGACGACCAACATCGGCAGGATCTAGAGGATCGAATTCACATGAAAGTTGACTGCATCAACGTCAGAGTGGGAAATGAATGCCGAGGTGCGAATATCTTCTTTTTATTTGAACTTTCCCACCCTCTGCATACATACACCTGCTCGGTGCCACCTGTAATACAAATATGAAGGACTTACCACTATATGTAGACTTGGTTCTAAATTCACAAAGCCATTTCTCACAGTGCTAAACCAGGCATAGGCAAACTCGGCCCTCCAGATGTTTTGGGACTACAACTCCCATCATCCCTATCTAACAGGACCAGTGGTCAGGGGTGATGGGAATTGTAGTCTCAAAATATCTGGAGGGCCGAGTTTGCCTATGCCTGTGCTGAACTATGACCAGTGATGGTATCAATGTGGCACTATGCACATTTCCAGTGCACCCATACATGCAGTGAATTACAACCTTATTCTACTTGGTTTAACATAAATGCTGAGGATCCCCATCGCCTTTTCTCAGGACATAACTGGCATATTCTTGTTTTGTCCTTTTCAGGGGAGAAGGGAGCTTATTTGCAAAGCTACCTATTTTATTTTATTCTAGTTATTTGCAAAAAAGAATTATGTTACAAAATACAGTGGCACCTCGGGTTACAGACACTTCAGGTTACAGACTCTGCTAACCCAGAAATATCCGTGTGCTGCTCTGGTTCGCCAGAAGTGGCTTAGTCATGCTGGCCACATGACCCGGAAGCTGTACGCCGGCTCCCTCAGCCAATAAAGCGAGTTGAGCACCGCAACCCCAGAGTCGGTCACGACTGGACCTAATGGTCAGGGGTCCCTTTACCTTTATGGGCAACTGAAAGACCTGGGAACTTGCAGCACAGCCTTGCACCTCTAGGTGTTCCTTTTTGCAGCAAAGGCTTTGTGACATACCTTAAATCAAGTGGAGCTTGGGTGTGTCTCCTCCATTTGTCAAGCTTAGGATTCTGCTTTAGTTTCTGAATCAGGCTTCCCATTGTATGTGCCTACTCAAGCCTCTTTGGAGGATCTGAGTTTAAAAGTGAATTAAGCATTTAGCTTGGTGCCACGTGGAGCTGAAGTACCATTCTTTTACTTTGCCTTTCTCTTGGGCAGGTTTCCAGCCTCCGGAGGGGAAGCCTAGGGATTGCTTGCTGCAGATCATTTGCCGTGATGGGAAAGTGCTCAACCTCTGTGCAGAAAGTGCTGACGACTGCTTGTGAGTTTCTTCTGCTTACTTGAAAATAAAAGACCTTCCCTTCTGAAAGAGTGACATGTATGCATAATGGACGGCCATGTGCCATATGTTCTTGAATGAGTTGCTTTGCAAAACAGTTGCAACTCTCCCAACTGCAAGAAGCAGACCCACGTCTTAGCTCACTTCCCAAAGCGGATGTTTGAGCTAATTATCATGGTCAGATAACTAACTTTCCCCATCCCTTTTGAAACTGGGGGAGTGTAATGACAGCTTCACACCAGGACTTTAGCTGAGCATCTTTGCTTTTTCCTTTCCATATTATCACCTATTAACAGATGGTTCAATTTCCCTCCACTTATTAATAGCCTTTCAAGGATTTATGTCTTTGGGGATATTTTATTCTTGCATACCGATAAAGGGAATTGTTGTTGCTGGTCAGATTATTTTCTAGGCTAGTGACTCGTCAGATTGAGCATCAGGCTACACATGGTCTGCATTCGCATGTAACAGCAAACCCTGATTTGTTTTGCTGCATTTGCATGTAGTGCTAAGCCAAACCATGACATTAAGCCAAACTTGTGGGCGCTGGAGGAGAATGCAGGCAGTTTGCTCCTTCCTGGTCCTTCAGCTTAGCATGTTGCCTGAACCCAGGCTTGTGGTTGAAGCTCTCTCCTCCTTAACCACAGCTTGTAGCCAAGGTTTTTTTTCTGGCTACGTCTTGTGGCTAGATTGGAGAGATTTAACCCTTTGCTCCCTGGCTTTAATTGTACCCCAATCTTGCTGTTAGTCCTTGAGGGGAAGACATGGATTCAGGACATTGAACTCAGCTGTTTTTCACTTCAGTAGCCAGTTTGGATTGAGAGAGGGAGGAGACACTTTGACCTAAATCCAAAAGCATTAGTTAGACTCTATCCCCCTGCAATTGCATTCTCAACCATAGCTACTTTTTTTTGTGTAATAAAAATGCACCAGGTCTTCTAATCATGCTCCTCCCATGTAGTTTCACCACGAATAGTTGCTATAATTTTTTTCTAAATTTTTTTCTTTTCTTTTCAATGCAATGCAAAATTATAACAAAAATTACAAACATTGAATCCAAAATAAAACCATACAAACAAGAAAGAAAAACAGAACACAAAAAAGCACACATCTACAAATAAAACCCTATCATCATTCTAATCTAGTCATTACATACATATACACATATTGACTTCCTTCCTTTGTTCTAAGACCTCAAAATTTTTACTCTTACTAAATTATTGTGTCTAATGTAGATTACTTCCATCTTTGTACTTTTTTACACCATTTTTCTTTTTCTTTAACCCTGTAACGCATCATTCATTACATACCGATATACTTACTCCAGAACAATGTTTTTTCATATACTCTTTAGCACAACCCCATTCTTTTAATAATTTCTGGTCCGATTGTCCCCTTATGAATGCTTGAGTCTTGCCAGGTTTATATATTCACAAAAGTTGCTACAATTTTTTTCTAAACTTGTTAACATGGAGGTACAATTTATATTAGTGATTCTTCCACCATTATCCTTTTATTTTTTTACACTGTTTGCTTCATATTTTATACAGAGCTTGGAAAATTGCTCTCCAGGATGCCAGAACAAATGGGGTAAGTTGGGTTTTCTGTGTGTGTGTGTGTGTGTGTGTGTGTGTGTGTGTGTTTGCAATAGTAGCATTGAGAGAAATAACCTTTCATTTAGATTTCTTTTTTGAGTACCTTTTTTGTGTGGCTAGTACCTTGGCCCACACTTCTCTTGTTCTGATGGAAGGAGTAAGCGTAAGAAGTGCATAGGAAGCTTAGGAAGAACCTTGCTGCATCAAACCAAAGCCTCCTTGTAGTTCAGCATCCTGTTCTCACAGTGGTCATCTGGCCTTATTCCTATCATCATCACAGGCCCAACTTGTATGATCCATTTCTTGATCATGTTAGCCAGTGAAGGAATCTTTAGGAAGATAGTTATTTCAGAAATGAACAAAAGTCAAATATTACGCACAACATGATGTGTAACTCTTCAAAGGTGCCCTTTGCCACTCGCCTAGCATGCCTGGAGCAAGTAGCTTTCCCAGGGGAGCAGACAAGCTGCAGCATCTGATTCTGCTTAATAGACAGGCACACACCCTTGTCATCATGCTCTTTCCTGGAATCAGAAAAGAATCCAGTAGGGCTGATGGAAATTGCTATGCATTTCTGGCCCTGTAGTCCATCCAAGAAGTGTTGTCCTTTGGTGCTTTCTCATCTCTGCTGCAGACCTATCCCAGCTCCCTCCCTTGATCCTTAAAAAGGTAGGAGAGCAAGTCAAGCCAACTCAACAGGGCTCTTTGAACAGAAACACAATGTGACTGTTGGTGATCATCCGCAAAGCCATCTGTGTCAGGGTTGCTGCTGTCTTCTGCGGAACATAAAAGTGGCATCATGGTTCTTCTGCCACATATGCACAGGGTGAACAAAAATACTAATCCTTTCGTGTGCTAGGAGCAAAGCCATCTGCTGGAGAGCAGGGAAAGAGAACACAGAGAAATTTTAGGAACTTGGTAATTTTGGTATGTTCTCCCTCTACCTCCGACGGTGGCATCTTCTTTCCACTTGGCCTTGTGTCTGATGTTCTTCCCACTTCTCACCTACCTGACATGGAACAGAGTAGGAAGGCTGCACTTTTCCATTTTGCCCTGCATCGTGCATTAAATTCCTCAGTTTAAGTATTGTTGATCAGTAATGCTATTTTGTACAGTAAGTCAACAACTCAGTATTTCCCAAAGGTGCTAACCTCGTTTCAGTTTCCTATTGAGTGCTCCATTTATCCAATCCTGCTCCCATCTTCAGTGATTACAATTGAAGAATTTGAACAGCTGCTTCTGTGTTTTATGTTAACATGTCCAGGCCTATATTGGTTCGGAAGTGATGTATGACGACAATACAATTTCCTCGTCTCCTCCTCCGTACACGGCTTATGCAACACCATCACCTGAGGTAAGCTATGGAAAACATGATATAAGGAAAGTTTGGTTAGTGCAAGTTGCTTAAAACTGGGCATTTTGTGAGGTGACCTATGCAGAAAGTTTAGCTGGCAGGTTTCACCTGTCCTGAAGAAGCAGGTGGTACATCATACCTGAGCTGGTGATGTCAGGCAGCACCCGTTTCCTTGAGTTGTTCAGCAGATGAAGTCTGTTCCCTGTGTCTAGTTGTAAAAGAGGTCTTAAACCCTTGCTCATCTTCCATCACAGCATGGTGTATTGTATAGGTGTCCTCTTCAGTTTCAAGCGACAAGCCTTGTAGTTAAAGAGAATGGGATGCCGCACTCAGGAATGTTTGGTTCCAACGTACACTGCTAACAATTGTTCTCAATTTCATCAGGTTTATGGCTACCCACAGTACAATGGAGCATATCCACCTCCCGGGGCTCAGGTCTTCTTTACTTCTAATGGACAGACGTATGCAATCCCCTATCAATATCCAAACCAAGGTAACTGGTAATATTTATTCTCCTATTACTTGATTTAGTACATTCAGAACTCTGCAGTTTGGTTTTGCATTCAGTATTTCCCCCACACAACTCCCTCCCCCTTGGTAGTAAGGTATTTTTATTACTCAACAGTAAATGAATAAATGCCCTAAAAGTACCATTTTTTGCAGTATATATATAATGCATTTGCCATATTTTTCTGTTTATAAGACTCCACCATGTATAAGATGACCCCTATGTTTTTGAACCCTAAATTAAGAAATCAATATTCAGGAATTTACAAATACAGATTTTACAATACCGTTCTTCCAGTACAAATCAGACTTCCCTTCCCCGCTTTTGTGGTGTCTTCTCTTACTTAAATTTTCAACATTGCATTTTCTACTTTACTCCATTTTTGAATTATTCTACAATTAATCTTAATAGTACTTTTAACTGCTTGATTTAAGCTAAACCTATCAATGCACTTAGTTGCATACCATAGTTTTTCAAATATTCCACAAATATTCCCCACTCCTTAATAATCCCCCCGCCCCCTTGGTTTCTTAACACACCCATTAATTTTGTCATTTCGGCATAATCCATCAATTGAATCAGCCACTCTTCCTTGGTTGGAACAGCATCCTCTTTCCATCTCTGGGCAAAAAGAAATCAATATTTTAAACACCTGAGGTTGCCCAAATTTGTTGAGCTTTTTTGGGGAGAATTTGTCCAAATTAGCTGCTGCTGAGGGCGACAGGCAGGCAAGACAGCAATAGGGAGCAGCAGAAGGAACCAGAGTTAAGCAGGGCATGAAGATGACAGATGCCAAGCCGAAGTGGAACGAGCAGCTGAAGCACTGGACCGTATTTTTCCATGTATAGAACAACCCCCTATTTTAGACTAAAAAAAAAAGCAAAAGCAAAAAACATTGTCTTATACACGGAAAAATATGGAACTTATAATTTCCCTCCCTATCTCAGACCTAAAATCATAATATTGGTCAAGTAGAAAAAGGTTTAAAATGAGGATGTAACGTAAGAAATAGTGGTATAATTCTCATCTTCTGGTGGTATTTTTCTCTCCCAAATTTTTGATGTGCACATTACTAGTACCTTTAGTACATTAGCATGATATGGGAGGGTAACTTAGGCTACAAGAACTATGTCCCAGTCCATAACCATACTGGATTTGAAATTGTTTTTATATATGCAGTTATTTTATATATGTTTTATTATATTGTGAGATGCTGCATAGGAAGGGAATGAAATTAATAATAATTTCAATAGGAATGAAATTAATAATAACTGCAACATTTTGACTGCAACTCTGTGATCACTTAACCTGGGATTGAGTTTAGTGGGACTTACTCCTGAGTAAACATGTAAAGGTTTGCACTGCTAAGTATGTTTGGCTTCCATTGCTGGTTGCTTGTATCAGAAATATGCCATATTTAATTGCTTGTCAGTTATGGTCATAAAATATGCCCATGCTCAGGTTATTGAGGGAGTTTCAGTGCCAGATTGTAATTAAATCTGTGCTGGGAAACTTGTGGCTCTCTAGATGTTTCTGGGACTTCAACTCCCATCAGTCTCAGTCAACATGGCCAGTAGCCATGGCAATGGGAACTGTAGTCCAGCAACATCTCGAGGGCCACAGATTCCCCATCCCTCCATTAAAGGTTGGAGTATTCTTACACTGTCTCTGCTGATGTGCAAAGAAACCTGTGTGAGAGTTCTCAACCCATTATTTGGTCAGCCTGTGCTACTGTGGAACTATAGTATAAGACTATAGTTTGATTAATTATCCTGTATCATATACTTCTGTGACATGACAGCTGCAGTTGCTTTATGGATTATATTGTGTTTGAATGTGGTCTTATGGTTTGATTGGCCTGTCTTCCTGTTCTTTGGCATGAGTGGTTTGGGCCCTCACAATAACAGCGTAGAGATGTGATCCTTTAAACCACGGTGCTCCAACTTTTCATACCAAGTGGGCCGCAAGAGGGGGAGTGAGGCCAAAGTTTGACACCACCTCAGCCAATGTGCTGCCTTCCCAAAGCCAGGTGAACAAGGTGCCAGGCTCTGGGAAGGAGGCGCAAGGCTCTGGCAGGGTCCTAGAGGCCTCCTACCTCCTACCCAAAGCTGGGAAAGTGCTAACTAGGCTTTGGGAAAGGAGGGTGAAGGACTCTGGGACTCTGCCAAACCCTCACGCCTCCTTTCCAAAGCCTAGTGCAGTGGTGTCCAAACTTCTTTCAAAGAGGGCCAGATTTGATGAAGTAAAGGGCCGTGAGGGCCGACCAAAGGGCCAACCAAAGTTTTTTTTAGGACTTTTTAAAGGATTGAAGTTGTTAAGGTTTTTTTAGGATTTTAGCCCAGGAAATAAACTGCCACAGGGGCCAGATTAAACCAACCGGTGGGCCGGATTAGGCCCCCGAAATGGATGTTGGACATGCCTGGCCTAGTGCCCCGGTTACCCAGTTTTGGGAAGGCAGTGCAAGGGCTGTGGTGTGGGAGTGTCAAATGTTGTCAAGGGCTGTCCAAAAAGGCCTTGAGGGCTACAGGTGGCCCTTGGGTCACATGTTGGACTGCCCTGCCCAAACCACATTATAGAGGATCAGCAATGAGCCATATTTGTGTGTGTGTGTGTACACTCGCCTTGGGGAACATGATATCTGAATGTAGCCACTAGGTGAAATACAGTGTTAGTCATACTCAGAGTAGACTCAGTAAAAATCAGTGGATTGAATTACTTGAGTACAACGTAGACATCAACCACAGCTTTTATTGGTCTTCCTTCACATTACCTCCTCTGTGTGTTCGTTCAGGTTCCTTGGCATTGAAAATCATTTACTTTTAAAGACCCAGCTATCTAGCCCACATTAACGGCAAGACGTTCCTTTCCCCATTTTTATGGAGTCCAGAATGTGTTGGCCTCCCAGTTTTAAGGAGATCAATGAAAGGGAACAAGAAGTTTCAAGTTTTATTTCTATTTAAATCCCACGGTCTTCTTCTTTCCAGGTCCTTATGGCCACCCTCCTGCGAATCATGTCATCATTCGAGAGCGCTACCGGGATAATGATGGGGACCTGGCGCTTGGCATGCTTGCTGGAGCAGCAACAGGAATGGCCCTGGGCTCATTGTTCTGGGTGTTCTAGGCTCCCTCTGGAGCCGCAAAGCAAAGGGAGACCTGAAGTCTTCTGTGTGCAATAATATGTATTTGCAAAGTACTTCAATTTAATCTACAATTTTTTTCGATAGGTTCTAGTAGTACTTTTTGCTGGTGACAGGCAGATTGTAGTTAACAAAAATTCCCAACTGTCCCAAAGGTGCCCTTTAGTTGAAAAGTGGTTAGCATAATGGCTCGTGGTCAGATGAGTTTGTGATTCTATGCATTGATAAGTAAGTAGCAGTAATATCAATGAAGTGTTACTAATGATGGCTAAATGGCCACAGTTGACTCATTTTTACAGTCAAATATTAACCATCTTGTTAAAATTACTTCAGCTACTGCCTCAGAATGCTAACTGGAAAGCAAGGGAGCACAAAAGTGGGTATTTCTGAATCCAGGAGATTTTGACTCCAATATTTTTCTTAGCACTCCTAGAAGACAAAGATGATGATTCAGTAGCCATGCCATGGGATCCATTGAATGTTTTCTTGTATTCAAGGGAGAGCTCTGGCATTTCAGTAGCTTGCACACTTACTGTACAAGTCCTTCCCAAGGCTGAACCAGGGACGGGGAACCTTTGGCTCTTGAGATGCTCTTGGACTACAATTCCCATCATCCTTGATCAGTGGCTATGCTGGCAGGAGTTCAACCAAATATGGAGAGCTCAAATTCCCTCTCCCTCGTCTAAGCAATAGAAAAATCTGACATTTCTTCTAGAAAGGAGTTTGGATTACCATGCAAACCATTCCAGTGTCCTAGAAACCGCAACCTCATTTAAATCCTAGTAACAGTTCCTTAGGATAACGGTGGCTGGAAAGAAAGTTTAACATGCAGACATCAGGCCTCCGGAACATTTGCTAAGGCAGGTAGAAGGATAGTTATTTAATAGGTGGTAGGAGGTGTTGTGATGGGGATAAATGTGTTCAAAGTCTAACTTACTGGTTTAGGTATATGGGAACCTTTTGAATCTGTATTGAGATTTATACAAAGTAATTATGCTCTCTTACCTGCAACTACAAACTATTTTTAACAAGGGCTTCTACTTTCCAGACACAGAGATACCTCTGTTTTGGTTGCACGCTCCAGTCTTGTATGTGCTTCTCCTTCTGCAGCTTAATTATCTGCTTTAAAGATGTAAGACCCCTACTTCTGTGAGAGGACAGAGAAATGAGCAAGTATCCCCACCCGGAAATTATTTTCAGCGGTGTAGGTTAATAAAAAGAAAGGCACACCTGTTTTTATCCATCCGTTGCTTGTGCATCCTGTTAAAATCTGAGATCTACACAAGACTCTTCCAAGTGTCTATAGGCTGTGCTGTGTTCTTTGGTGAACCTGCAAGCTTTGAACAGCAGCGAGCAAAGGGGACTTGGGTTGTGCCGCCTGCCATAATGACAAACCCTAGCCGAATGCATTCCATTCCTATTTAAATGGGATAACTGAATTGTGAGTGAGGCAAAGGCAAGGTAATGGTACTGGAAGTCTTAATATTGGTCTTGTACACCTTGTATGCCAGTGTTTGCCTTGGGTGTGTCTATGCAACTGCTGTTGAAATGCAACAGGGGGACCTTATTGCATCCAGCAGTTGTTGGATTTGAAAGTGTGGCTTTTTAAAAACCCTGTCAGCAGTCTAGGACATTTCAAAAGACAGTACTGTGAACTGAAGAATGTGTGAACTGAAGATGCTTTATTTAATAGGTCTGCAGTCTCTTATTTAATACCCAGGCAAGTATGTTGGAAGCCTTGTAAGTTACTAAGAAACCGATAATACACTAAAAGCAGCACTAGCTTCTGCTCTGATTTTGTAATTTATCTAGTGTAATTTTAAGACCATCTCTTCTGTGCTATTATGTGTACTGTACAGAATTGTAGAACTTCCAGAAAACTCCTTTCTTGTATTTGTTACTTTGTGAGGAGAGAAAAAAATAAATGTAGTCTTCGAATTTTTGGCAAGTCAAAAATTTAATACACTTGTCATTCCTTGATAAGATGTCAAGTTCAAGTTGGTTATAACCATAGAAAACTGCACTGGGAGCTGCGGGGGGCTTCATTTTGCCTGAATAATTATTTGCACAGTGTAATGGGCATATTGGGAAAGAACACAAGGCATCGACTAGCTGGATTTTAAAATATAACGGCTAAATCATATGCTCCTGTTGGATAAATGAATTCAGTAAACTGCAAAGCAAATAAAATCTTTCCACATTTATCTTGCATTAATACCAGGAAATAAATCTTGACCAAGCTCAATATTCAAGAAGAGTTCCAAAAACTTGGGTAGAAATCTGGATTTTGCATCATATGATTGCGAGTAAGATAACGTGCAGTGTCAACTATCCTCCCCATGCCACGTAATTCCAAATATTATTCAAGGAGTTGTTATTATTTGCTATGAAGTGGCAGAAAGAAGGCATAGTCTGGAGACATAGCCTTGTAAACACCACCCTTGGAGGCCAGCCCTACTATTGAACAAACTAAGGTAGCTGCTTCAGGGAACAGATGCTTGGAGAGAGCAGGGAGTGGTAGCAAGAGTGCTGGAGGACAGAGTTGTGTGTTCTGTGTGGTTTGCGCTCCCTAAGCTAGCCTGCTTTCTCTCAGGTACAGAGGACGTTGCCAGTGTAGATGGAAAATTTGCTAATTCAGTTGGCTTCCTTATTTCTTTTGATAATACCAGGAAGAAAGGGGGGAGTTATAAATAATGTGGATGTTTCAATGAATCTTTTTTCTAAACCTTGCTGAAAACTTCCTAAGAGCAAACCGTATTAATCTGTTCCATGATTCAAACCAGCACTAGGTAAATGATCTTTCCCTACCTACAAATCTCCCTCTTCTCATCCAGAAGGAAATGCCAAATAGAGCATCTGACCAGCTGAATGTACTCAGCCAGGAATATATTGGAATGGTCTTGTGATTGTCACAGTGGCCACAATGTCCCAGGTTATGACAGGCAAGGGTATTGCTGCCAGCCATTTTAGAAAATATTGAGAGAGATGGGCTTCGCTTACATAAATATTGGAGATAGACACAACAGCTTTTTGGCACACAGACTGTCAAAATGGAAACTTATTTAGTAGAAACAAAAGCCTGTCAACTTTTATGGCTTACTTTCAGGGGCAGAAATGTTGCAGAAATGCAAGAGGCCACAGGAATGTACTATGGGGAGGGAAGAGTTGGAATGATTGACTGTGGTGGTATGAATGGGGAGGAAAGGGATAGCAAAATATGCTTGGGCTGGCACCCGTCACAATTGTTCATACTGGCTTTGCACAATCTGTTATAAAGACATTTTTACAAAGTTAAAAGGCATAGGAAAATCTGTGCTAAAATCCTGAACAGGCCAATCTAACATGATCAATGTGACTGAGCTCACAATTTAAATTGGTGGAATTATATGGGAGTAAAAAGGTAAAGGGACCCCTAACCATTAGGTCCAGTCGCGAACAACTCTGGGGTTGCGGCGCTCATCTCGCTTTACTGGCCGAGGGAGCTGGCGTACAGCTTCCGGGTCATGTGGCCAGCATGACTAAGCCACTTCTGGCGAACCAGAACAGCACATGGAAACGCCGTTTACCTTCCCGCCGGAGTGGTACCTATTTATCTACTTGCACTTTGACGTCCTTTCAAACTGCTACGTTGGCAGAAGCAGGGACTGAGCAACGGGAACTCACCCCGTCACGGGGATTCGAACCACTGACCTTCTGATCGGCAAGCCCTAGGCTCTGTGGTTTAGACCACAGAGCCACCCGCATTCCTTATATGGGAGTAAAAAAAAAGAAAAAGTGCATTTTTAAAAATGAACAAGGATGACAAATTATGCACATGACTGTTTGCTAGGAAACTTAAACGAAGAACAGCCAAGAAACAAGGGACATATCCAAAAAAGGTCATTAAACTCAAGAGCTCTGAAAGATGGTGTCTAGAAGAATAATGGAGGCATATAATAATGGAGGCATATAATTTGGACAAAATTTGGTTTCCAGGTGGAAAAATCAAAATTGGAAACAGAATTGTTAGATTCCAAAATCAAGAATTTGTCAAAAATGTATAACTTGCTGTTAAATTGGAATACTCAGGATGAAATGGTGAAATCAGCTATGATTAAATGGGCACAAGATGTTGGACATAATATAATGATGGCTGACTGGGAACAGTTATGGACCACAGGTATGAAATTTATGGCATGTAATGCCCTAAGAGAAAACTTAATGAAAATGATTTATAGGTGGTACATGACACCAGTCAAGCTTGCAAAAATTTACCATATGCCTGACAATAAATGTTGGAAATGTAATGAGACTGAAGGCACATTCTTTCACCTTTGGTGGACGTGCCCAAGGATTAAGACATTCTGGGAGATGATTTATAATGAAATGAAAAAGGTATTTAAATATACCTTCTTGAAGAAACCAGAGGCCTTTCTCCTGGGCATGGTCGGCCAAATGGTGCCAAAGAAGGATAGAACCTTTTTTATGTACGCAACAACAGCAGCAAGAATACTCATCGCGAAGTATTGGAAGACACAAGATTTGCCCACCCGGGAAGAATGGCAGATGAAGTTGATGGACTACACGGAACTGGCGGAAATGACTGGCAGAATCCGAGACCAGGGAGAGGAGTTGGTGGAAGACGACTGGAAAAAGTTTAAAGATTATCTACAGAAATATTGTAAAATTAATGAATGTTAGAAAAAAGTTGAAATGAAGTTATATGGCTTTAGTAGAAATATTATAAGGAATTAAGTACACATAGGTTAATAGAGTATTAAAGGAAAAAAATAAGGTTAGAATGAGTTAAGATAATTATAGGATAGAAAACAGAGGAGGATGGAAAGGAATTGCTGAAATAATTAACAGAAGTGGAATACAAAAAGGGAGGTGTGAGGAGGTCGTGGAAATAAGTGAATGAAAGATGTGATAATGAAATTGGTTGATTTATTTTATTGTCTTAGTCTTGTTTTGTTAATTTGATGTGTTGTATTGCATTTTTTTATTTTTATTTTTTTCCCTTCTTTTAGTGTTTTTGGAAAAATAATAAATATTATTTTTTAAAAAAATAGAAAGTAATTAATTTAAGAAGTTCAGGAAAGCAAAGCAGGAGCACTAGATTAGGAAGTGCTCATGCCAAGCCAAATCCATGGCTAATGCTGTCTGCTCTGATTAAACAGATAAGCCCTGCTCCAATAGGAATAAATAAGTATGAATATTCTCCCTTGGGCTGATCTGGGAGGTGAGACTGCACAGTGGTTTGGGACACTAATCTGTTGAGCAGATGATACTATTGAGGTGGGAAGGAAAAAGGAGAAGCTGCTTCTCCATACAGATGATCAGCACTACCAAACTTGACTGCGTTGACTTCCTGCTGATTAGCAAGACGTGACTAGCAGCATGTGGGCAGCCTAACTTTCTGGCAACAATTCCAGTTCAAACACTTTACTCGCAGCACTGTGACTCTGCCTCTTGAGCTACTGCTTAGTGTTCCTTTGGTGAGTTGCTTAGGACTGGCTAGCACATACCTGCATGTTATAAGAATGAAAATAAATGAGATTTCCATGAAGAAATGGGGAAATAGGCACACAAAGCTAAGCAGGTCTGGATCTGGTCAGTGGCTGATGGCTAATTGCCAGGGAGGCTTGCGTTCCATGACAAAAGAATAGTGAGATACAAATGTAAACTAAATAAATACATTGAGAATAATGGGTCAGAGCCCAGAAACTTGGCATGTTGGAAATCAGGTACCCATTTCTGCAAATAGCCCTTTAAAACACAGTTATATAGCCTCTGCTTTCAACAGTGCTGTTAACCTCATTCAGCAAATAATTGTACATGCTAGGGGTATGATTAGATGTTACAGTACAGCATGCTTTTATTTGTGTTTCAAGTACTCAATATCAAGCCCAAACACAATAATAAGCTTGGACAGACATTTTGATTATAATGAAAACTGGTACAGACTTAAGTTGAGCTACACTTGGTCCCAATTATATATTATGTACCGTTTGATAGTGACTGGTTGAAAGAAAGCATCACTGAACTAATGATAACATGTGCTTTGATTTGACTTGTGCCATTACGAAAAGAAACTGCATCCATATATCAGCACTCTTTTTTTTCTGGGCAAGAAGTGTGGCGGAACCAAACCACTAGATGGCAGGCAAAATCAAGCAATGCCTACAAGCCGGTAACATCCCCTTCAATAAGGTTTTTATGTGCCGTACTTTAGTGGCTGATTCACCTATTTAGCACAAACGAAGCCTTCACCAAGCTACTAAAACCCAATATAATCTCACTTATTCAGATTTTTATGGATTCAAGTTAAGATGAAAGCGAGCTAATGCTTTACAGGGGAGTGGTTTTATGGAGATAAATAATACTGTTTTGAAGTGATTCTACAGGCAGGTGACAAGAGCCAATGATGAACAGGAAAGGAAGGGAAGATTATTTTGGGTGAAACCATCAACTGGATGTAAACATGTGCTGACACAAAAGTCAGACGATAACATGCAGGTATGTGTTAGCCATCCATTCCTAAGCAACTCAACAATGGTTCTTCTAGGTTAGTATTGTCTACATTGACCAACAGGACCACCCAATTGAGCCTTATCTACTGCACAGATTTGGGAGGATAAAAGAGGATAATTTAGACTACCCTGATCACCTTGCAGCAAAGGTGGAGTACAAATATAATAAATATATTCCTTGCAGCTGCATTTCACACACACTTCCCTAAGATTAAGCCCCAAGGAGCTAAATGGTAGGTTCTATAAAGGTAAAGGACCCCTGGACGGTTAAGTCCAGTCAAAGGCGACTATGGGGTGCAGCGCTCATCTCGCTTTCAGGCCGAGGGAGCCAGTGTTCGTCCACAGACAGCTTTCTGGGTCATGTGGCCAGCATGACTAAACAGCTTCTGGCACAACAGGACACTGTGACAGAAACCAGAGCGCACAGAAACACCGTTTACCTTCCCGATGCAGCAGCACCCATTTATCTATTTGCACTGGCATGCTTTCGAACTGCTAGGTTGGCAGGAGCTGGGACAGAGCAACGGGAGCTCACTCCGATGCGGGGATTCAAACTGCCAACCTTCCAATCGGCAAGCCCAAGAGGCTCAGTGGTTTAGACCACAGCGCCACCCGCGTCCCTAGGTTCTATAGACCTACCCACAAATATATTGATTTAGGACATCTTTTCTCTCTGCACTGCACATCTGTTTAGGAAGTGGAGACTATTTCATCCCTTTCTTCTGGTATTAGCATTGGACTGCAATGGGCCACCGCATGACATATTGGTATTAGATGGATCATACGCTTCTACTGTAATACAAATTATGCAACAGCCCCGGAGGATGACTCTGGGCCTTTGAACTTGAAGCAGTTTGAGAATGAAAGAGATTGCTCTTTGCTTTGTGCCAAGGACATAGCTTTCCCCCCTATTGTTATTATTTCTGTAAAGCTTTGATGTCCATTGAGCTTCACATGGATTAAGGGCAGGTGAAGGTCATTCTAATTCTGCCATCTGGCTCCAGAATTCCTGCCCCCTTTCCAGGGAAACCTCATCTGCATGTTCCAACAGTGTGTGCTGCACACAGGCCACTGAGCAACAGAAATGCAGCTGGCAGGTGCAGACTCAAAGCTCACGGATTGTTCTCCAGGTTTGCTGGCTGGCTCCTTTCAGCAGTTGTGCCAGCCAAGTGCTTTTCATACATGGCCATTAGAGCTTTGGAGGGCTAGCAACTCTCTTAAGAGCTGGGAAGGCAAGTGGCAACAATACACACTTGGTTGTGCTTCAGTATCTCAGGGCTTTAAAGACAATCTGCCGAGGGCACCTACCGTAGTGCACATTATCCGTGATGGGAGAATTCCCCTTGGCTCCACTTGGAATTGGGTTAGCAATTCGGAACACCACTGGAGCATGCATCTCATTCCAGGAGTTCTAAACTGGCTTGTAGAAGAAGAGTTTGGATTTGATATCCCGCTTTATCACTACCCGAAGGAGTCTCAAAGCAGCTAACATTCTCCTTTTTCCTTCCTCTCCCACAACAAACACTCTGTGAGGTGAGTGGGGCTGAGAGACTTCAAAGAAGTGTGACTGGCCCAAGGTCACCCAGCAGCTGCATGTGGAGGAGCGAAGACGCGAACCCGGTTCACCAGATTACGAATCTACCGCTCTTAACCACTACACCACACTGGCTGTAAATGTTTGCACATGCTTGCTTCCTTTTCAGGACACACAGGCAATCCCATAATACAGTTTTGGAATGGGAGTGTGGTTGGGGCAGTTGGGACACCAGGAAGCCATGTCATCTGCCAGATCAATGACAGCTGCAACTCCAAGAGGAAGTGGACTTCGCTTAGTCTTGATTCCTTCCATTTCCTCTGTGTTTTCTTTAGGGTACAAGTGGAACCATATCCCATTATGTAAATAAACACCAAGGGTTCCCCCCCACCAATCCCCCCCCCACAGAATTGTAAATTGCTTTAAGGCAGGCTGGGGAACCTGTGGCCCTCAAGATCTTGTTGGACTCTATTTCTGTCAGCATAAGCCAAGGGTCAGAAATGTAGTCCTGTGACACTTGGAGGGTCCAAAGTTCCTCATCCCTGCTTTAAAACAAATTTACATTTGAGAAGCACCTAGGTTTTTTTTCCTCCCAAGCTTGGGAATTCCTGGTGCCAGTTGATTCCATACCTGCCAATGCCTTGCTCTGTAAATGGCATTGCCCCCTTTAAAAATTCTTGCCAGTTGCACCAATAATCAAGATTTAAAGTCACTGGTGTGTTAAAATAATAAACTTCTGAATATGCGCCAACAGTGGCTGCTATCTTGATCAGGACTTGAATTGAAAAGACAGCCTGCTGAGCTCTCTGTTAGGTATATCTCCAACTCACATTAGTGGGTGGCTCAGTGCGCATCCGAGATTTATCTCACAGAGATCTCTGCAGGCTTTCCCCCCAGTTTAACCCACAATGAATACCTTATAAACTACAATTGGCCAAAACTCATTGGACTGCTTTAAAAATAATTTCCTTTACGCACAAACACGTATCTTGGGACAGATTCACTTGTGTTTTGAGGATCATTTTGGACGCTCTCCATTTTTTATTTTTTATTTGCATTTTTCCTATCTTGATCGCCTAAGTGTGATGAATGCAAAACAGCACAAACATGTAATAGTTTCATTTTGCATTTAGAATCTAGCAGCAATTCTCCTTGGAATACATCTGGTCATTATGAGGTGGAAATATTCTTATTCCAAACTTACAGACTTTGGTGGTAAACGCTAATCACCACAATATAAAGAACAAATAATTCAAGGACAAATAATGCATTCATACACCTGTATAATTTTGAACAGGAATAATTAAGAATTTCAAATCAAATCATAGGTGGCCAGATATTTTCAGATTTAGCATTTAGTGGCACATTTAAATCAAATTATCTCCAAGACAGGATACTACAATAGTTTGATGGTGTTTACTTCTAATTTTCTGGCACGTGCAATAGACAAGTGGTTCCTTGGATTCTGCATGTGTTTCCTTATCTGATGGGACAACTACAAGCACAAAGAGAGATAAAATTTTGTATGAATCTCCCAGTCTCTCCAGATATAATAAAAGTATGAAATAAAACCCAACAACCACGAGAATGATGTTAAACTGGGCTGAAAGTTCAAGAACCCTGCACACTGGCTAAATGTTCCTCCTGAGAACAATCCTGTACACACTTACTTGGAATAGGAGTAACTGACCACAAGGGGACAGACAGCTACATAAATATGCAGAGGCTTAGGCCTACAGCTCAGCAGCAGAGCACCTGCTTTGAATGCAGAAGGTCCCAGGTTCAATCCCAGGTCTTTCTAGGTAAGGCTGGGAAGGTCTCCTATCTGCAAACTCTGGAGAGCTACTGCCAGACCATGCAGAAAACACTAAATTGGATGGACTAATGATCTGACTCATTACAATGCATCTTCCCAAGCTGATTGAGCTGTCCACGGTCATTCTGGCATTATGGACTTACATATTGATTTGATTTGTTTTCTGATTTTAAACTGGACCCCCAAAGCAGCTTAGAATGTTCATCAACAGCAACTCACAGCAGAAACAAGTATGCAATGTGGTGTCTTATATATAATGTCATAGAATTGTGGACAAGGGTCGCCTAGCTGAATCCCCTGCAATGCAGGAATATGTTGCCCAATGTGTGTGTGTGGGGGGGCGGCGGCTCAGACTCATGACCCTGAGATTAAGCGTCTCATGTTCTATCAACTGAGCTATCCCAGAGCCTTTCACTGAATCATTCCATCAGTCTGGTGATCCCAGAAAAAATGCTTAAGGGGTTCTAGCAGCACATTCATAAACTTCCCATCAAACACATGTTCCATGCATGGGATTGCACTGCCAGTAATCATTACAAAGATTACTGAATTCAGTGAGACTACCAGGGAGAAAAGATGAAAGAGGACAGGGGTTCTACACTTTTAACAGCCTTGATCTGTTTCTTCTGGTTCTCTTTCAAGACCATTAGTCTTATGTGGCTGTAGGAGTGGAGAGATGCAGACAGTCTTGCTGAACCAGGAGTAAGTATGTGGTGTTGACTTCACTTGCCTCCTTCCCTGATGGAAGGTATGAGCTTTTAAGACCATGGTAAAGTCTTGCCTTATTATACAATTATCTCAGCTTTGGTGGGCCTGAACATTTATTTTAGAGGGAAAAATCAGGGGACATCTCATCTTTTTATTATTGTTGTTGCTGTCGTCGTTCTACTACTACTATATTCTTAAAGATTTTCCTCGTTTACAAAGCACATGCATTGTCTCTTTCTTCAGGTTGTGTTTTCTAAAGATCAGTTACATTTGCTGTGAGACATTGGTGTTATATGTAGTATAGGGTTGGGAAGAAAGGGGGGGCAGGAGAGAGGGGGTGGGGTGGTAAAGCTTAGGTTCTTAGAGTATGTGTGGGGGTTTTGTGTCAACATCACTTGGGTGTGTTCTCTTTCTATTCGCTTGTTATGTTTCCTTAGTGGTAGGAGAGGTTGGGATGGCCTAGGGTGTGCCTGATTGTCTTTGGTTGACTGCAGTGGGATTTGTTTGTGGGGGGGAGGTCGTGGGTTAAGTTAGCCACATTGAATCGTATGCTGACGGTGGGTTCATGTTGTTGTCTTGTTGGATTGTGTATGTGATAAAGGGGAGCCATACTGAAGTGAAGGTGTCCTCTTCTATTTGTCCCCATTCCAGTTTCAGTCTATTGGCTAGCTTTTCTAGTAAGGCTATTTCTCATACTACTTGATACCAGTGTTCCATGTTTATTCCTGACAGGTCCCTCCAGGGTCTGGCTAGGATGCTTCTGGCTGCTGAGAGTAGGTGGGTTATGAGCTCTTTATAGTGTGAGTGGGCACCGTTATCTTGGAAGATGTTCAGTAGGGCCAGTTCTGGGTGACTTCTAGTACCTGTTTAGTTATTTTGATTATTTCCTGTATGACTGTTGTCCAGAAAAGTTGGGTTTTGATGCATTCCCACCACATGTGGAGGTATGTGCCTGTGGAGGTGCAGCCTCTCCAGCATCTTGGTGAGGTTCCTGGGCATATCAGTGCCAGTTCACATGGTGTTAGGTACCATCTGTAAGTGAGTTTCAGAGTGAGTTCCCTTCTTTTTGCTGATATGGATTTAAAGGGAGGTTTAGACTGCAATCTAGTCCATTGGGTGGGGTTAATTTCATAGCCTGTGTCATCCTCCCATTGTTTTTTGATTGCATCAAGGGGGTTTGTGGGGCTTCGGAGCAGTGTTTTGTATATTGTGGACACCATCCCCTTGCCATGTCCCATTGTTGTTAGGAGAAGGTTTTTGAAGATGGTCAAGGGCCTAGTGGCTGTTGATTTTAATACTGGATTGTTTAAGAAGGCATGCAGTTGGTGGTGTGTTAGTCAAGATATTTGGGTGTCCCCTAGTTTGTTTTGTATTTCTCGTGTCGAAGTGGGTTTGTTATTTTTGTAGAAGTCTGCTAGGCAATATAGACCTTTGGCTTGCCAGGTTTTTATCTGGATATTTTGTGCTGCGTGGTGGAATAGTGGGTGGTGAGCCAGGGGGATTAGTGGGGATGGGGTTGGGGACAGTTTGCCTACTTCTTCCTTCCATGCTTTAAGCATGGTCTGTGTGAACCTATTGTGTTGTGGGGATTTTCCTTAGTTTGTTTTGGAGGAAAGGGTATGCTGTGGTGGGAGTGTTTTCGATTACGTCTCTCTCCAAGGGCACCCATTGTTTTGTCTCGTCTTCTAGAATGTATGGGATTATATAGCATACTTGGTTGGTGATGCAGTATAGTTCTATGTTGGGAATCCCCCATCCTCCTTCTGAGGTGGGGAGGTGCAAGTGTTTGGGGCTTATTCTTGGCTTTTTGTGTGAGAAGATAAATGAGTGTAGTTTTTTCTGCCATTTGCGGAATTGGGTTTGTGGGACATCTCATCTGTATTTTTCGCACTAAGGTTGGCAAAGCCCCTTTAAATCTTAGGTCAAAGCATCTGTGATCACAGATGGCTGGTGCAGCATATTACTTTAAGTAGTTTCCCTGGAAGACAGTCAGTCATTCCTGCAAGGTGCTGGAAACGCCACGGTTTTGAAATGAATGCCCTCAAAAATTCCGCAATATATATAAAAGTCAGTGACAGGTTAGGAAAAAACAAAACAAAAAGCAAACAAACAAAACAGAGTGAAAGGACAAAACAATCCTCAGTTAAATCAATAGCTTTACTTCTGACTGCTTTAAAGCCAATTGTTTCAGATGTCACAATCTGGAATAGCTCTTTGCTCTGATCAATATCTTGTGGCAACGCCAGAGCTATTCAGATAAGCTATCAGTGGAACTAATTGTTGTTGAAGCTGTGCCCTTTTGTTCAGTAAGGGTAGGATGGATTTGTTTTTCCAATGTAAGTTGATTGGAGTGCTTTTCAGCTCAATTCCATTTCAAACTGGGTTTGCTAGCTCATCGCAAGGGGTGATGCCGGATTACTTTATTGCATCCTCCTAATGCAAACAGGAGTTTGATTTATAAGGAGAGGTGCTGGGGCTCCAACCTGCCTGAAAGAGTCCCCCACCTGTTCTGAGTGTCCCATCCCTGAGCTCTGGACGTGCCGGGGTATAGTTAAGAGGAAAATAACACAAGGTAGTGCACATCACATCTTTCTATAATTACTGGGAAATTGATGGAGTTTCAGAGTGTGTCAATGACTGGCAAAGTAGCTGATTTTAGGGCCTCGGATCTAGACTGCCCCAATCTCAGATTAACTATCAAAGCTGATTTGTCTGTTATTCTGTCTGTGAAAGTGATCAGACAGCATAAATTTAATTGGAGCACAGCTGTAAACATCTTGCTCTTTGCGTCCTATGTTTCACTATCACAGTCGTAGTCAGGCACTGTTTTAAGCAGTTTAAGTTAATAGGTGAAGGTTGGGGATTGCAGTCCCACCCTTCCTTCAATGTCCAGGTATTCAAGTAGCTTGTTTGCACAGGGCCTACATACATGTAGCCCTGAATGCTTGTAAGCTTCTGTAAGTGTACTTCGGTGAACAGTTGAGGTTAGGGGTGCTCAGATGTACGCACATAGCCCTTCGGGAATGGGGGCATTGGAATGTATGGAGGTCAGGTGAAGGGCGAATGGGTGCGAGCCCAACCTTTCAACCATGCATTCCTTTAATGCAGTGATGGCCAAACTTGGCCCTCCAGCTGTTTTGGGACTACAACTCCCATCATCCCTAGCTAACAGGACCAGTGGTCAGGGGTGATGGGAATTGTAGTCTCAAAACATCTGGAGGGCCAAGTTTGGCCATCACTGCTTTAATGAATGCCTGACAAGGCTCTTAAACAGATTTTCTCATTTATCACAGACTTCCTAAGAAGAGTCACATGCATAAGCATCAAATGTTTTCTTTTTATTTCTGAAACTGTTCAACCAAACCAATCTAACAAAGGTCACTTTTGGATGACTCATTGATTAAACGATCATCCTGATTGGTTTCAACAAAGTTTATGGGATGGTGATACAACAATTTTTGCAGGGTGGTTATACAACGTTGCATCAACAAATTATTGTTCTACACTTTCCAGTGCATTTCCCCATCACTTTCCTTGCAGCAAAACTTTTGTGTTTTTTGGAAGCAGGTTGATTGTGCATGAGCGTCAAGTCCACTTTAATTGAGCAACTTGGGTATGTGGTTGAATCCCATCTACAAAATGCCAATGGCCTAGAAGCAGCCTAAGATTTTTTTTTATTAAAAAAACCCCTCATGGTATCTGTTTAATGATGAAGCCATTTAATTTAACCAAAGTGCTGTTGTTTTTTAATCCTAACATTCCAAGTCCCAGATATTTCAAATCCCTAAAGCTATCTCTACCCTGTTTAAGCTTCCACATTACATCAAAGAACTAAATGGCAGCCTGAAGGGACATCATGATATGTGTGCCAGTAACACACACACCCCGCAACACACACACACACACACACACACACACACACACACAGTGACATCAGAGCAGGCCAACTTCTGGCATTAAGAGAAAGGGGAGTGAGATGCCAAGGAAGAGATTACAAGAGTTGAAGAGATCACAGGATAAGGAGATTGTATATGGAACAATGAAAATGCAGCCTGCCCAGCTTTCTAACATCTGCATTCCTATTTGTATGTGTTGTATATACAAAAGTTGTTTGTAACTTGTTAACGAAGAACAAACATATGGCCAGTTGGTCTGGAGAAAAATCTCACATCCCCTCTCACTTCCTAGCCTTTGTCCAGCCTCTCTTTGTGATTGGAGCCTCTAAGTCTCTCTTAAAAAACAACAATGGGGGGGGGGTAGATGGTGTATTTGTACATTATTGCACA